CCGCGGTCCTCTCGGCGCGAGGAGAGGTTGTGTGAGTGTCAACTATTTTGTTTAGAGATTATAGCTCTTGGACCTTGGTCTTACTAGTTTTAAACAGTCGTATTATGTACGTAGTAAACTCTCATGATTTCTAGTGTATGAAATCGCAGTTATACGATTTTTTCAACCTTTGGAGATGATTTTTTTGCCTCTATTCACTCTACAGTTTTTTGCAGTGTGATTTACATTAAAGAGTGTTTACATTGTAATAATTTACAGTCATAGTTGTGTTGTATGAAGTTCAACGCTTCTTATTTTTAGCGATTTCATTGTGTCATACTTTCACACTACTCAATATCTTTTTTTCCTCACCCGGGACGCACGCGCGTGTGCGCCTTCACAATAAGCACCCACACAACGCAACGCGGCCAGTTTACGAGGGCAAGTTGCAGAGTGCACCATAACCTTGCACCCAAGCGGTACAGTGTACCGTTGGTCAGCCTATAGGTAGTACAGTGTACCACTGACCAGCATATAATGTATATCTAAGCCTTCAAGATGGTTTGTTTTAGGCAATTCTTCGCTCTTAAAGAAAAACACCGAAGCACTTTGTGTGTTGTGGACCACTTTCCAAACCAACCCGTTCAAGAGAGCGTTCCCAACGTCAAGAAAGTGTCGTACTAAAGTGTCCCCTTATCCTAACTTACCAGAGAACCCCAAACAGAAAACGGAACAGTGTGTCAACTTCGAGAGCCGCTTACATTTTCTAGTACGAGGATTAATGGCCTCAAGTGAACTAAACGTCCAAAATGCGACGTTCTATTAGGAGGACGGGTTCAACGACGTGCAGAAAAGTACGTCAGACAGATGCAGCTGGTACCACAGGTGGTACACAAGGTGAAGCACAGTAGACAGATGGTGGTACAAGGTACAGCGTCAGTAACTAAGCCGTGGTACAAGAGGTACAGCATCAGTAACTAAGCCGTGGTACAAGAGGTACAGCATCAGTAACTAAGCCGTGGTACAAGAGGTACAGCATCAGTAACTAAGCCGTGGTACAAGAGGTACAGCAGCAGTAACTAAGCCGTGGTACAAGAGGTACAGCATCAGTAACTAAGCCGTGGTACAAGAGGTACAGCAGCAGTAACTAAGCCGTGATACAAGAGGTACAGCAGCAGTAACTAAGCTGTGGTACAAGAGGTACAGCAGCAGTAACTAAGCCGTGGTACAAGAGGTACAGCAGCGGTAACTAAGCCGTGGTACAAGAGGTACAGCAGCAGTAACTAAGCCGTGGTACAAGAGGAACAGCAGCAGTAACTAAGCCGTGGTACAAGAGGTACAGCAGCAGTAACTAAGCCGTGGTACAAGAGGTACAGCAGCAGTAACTAAGCCGTGGTACAAGAGGTACAGCAGCGGTAACTAAGCCGTGGTACAAGAGGTACAGCAGCAGTAACTAAGCCGTGGTACAAGAGGTACAGCAGCGGTAACTAAGCCGTGGTACAAGAGGTACAGCAGCAGTAACTAAGCTGTGGTACAAGAGGTACAGCAGCAGTAACTAAGCCGTGGTACAGGAGGTACAGCAGCAGTAACTAAGCCGTGGTACAGCAGCAGAAACTAAGCCGTGGTACAAGAGGTACAGCATCAGTAACTAAGCTATGGTCAGAGATACGATTCTCAAGTAGGTTATTTTGAGATGATTTCGGGGCTTAGAGTCCACGCGGCCCGGTCCTCGACCAGGCCTCCTTTCTGTTACACATGCACCCCCAGGAAGCAACCCGAAATAGCTGTCGAACTCGCAGGTACCTAGTTACGCAAGGTGAACAGGTGCATCAGGGTGAAAGAAACTACACATTTCTTACTGGCACGGATTGGGATCTAACCCTTAACCCTAAGATTACGAACCCCAAAGACTGTCCCCTCAGCCGTCAAGCTCCCTCGCTCCAACCAATGAATTTATTGATTTTACAAACAAAATTTTCAAGCGTACAGTGAATGATAAATACTTTAATAGAATAATTTTTATATAATTACATTTACTGAAGACCTTAATATAATTCAAATGTTATATAGAAGCTCTTGCTTATTTATAAAGATATCTTAGAAAATGTTATATGTTTCAAATAATGTTAAAAAATAAAAAAAAAATTCTATTGGATTGTCAAATATTTTTAAGCTAAATATAATACTATAGAAAGATAAGAATGAAGGTAACTGGAGAAGGCCTATTGGCCCACACGAGGCAGCTCCTAAGTGGTGAAGTTTATAACCAGAACCGTGCGCGCCATCTCAGCTGATGGTTGACAGATGGTTGAGTGTGACGGATGAGCGTGAACCATCACATGCTTAGCGTGAAGGCGTACACACGCGCGTGCGACCCGGGTGCGAGATCCCGGCGCGAGGAGAGATTGTGTGAGTGTCAACTATTTTGTTTAGAGATTATAGCTCTTGGACCTTGGTCTTACTAGTTCTAAACAGTCGTATTTGGTACGTAGTAAACTCCCATGATTTCTAGTGTATGAAATCGCAGTTATACGATTTTTTCAACCTTTGGAGATGATTTTTTTGCCTCTATTCACTCTACAGTTTTTTCCAGTGTGATTTACATTAAAGAGTGTTTACATTGTAATAATTTACAGTCATAGTTGTGTTGTATGAAGTTCAACGCTTCTTATTTTTAGCGATTTCATTGTGTCATACTTTCACACTACTCATTATCTTTTTTTCCTCACCCGGGACGCACGCGCGTGTGCGCCTTCCCGCTAAGCATGTGATGGTTCACGCTCATCCGTCACACTCAACCATCTGTCAACCATCAGCTGAGATGGCGCGCACGGTTCTGGTTATAAACTTCACCACTTAGGAGCTGCCTCGTGTGGGCCAATAGGCCTTCTCCAGTTACCTTCATTCATATATTCCTATGGTATTATGCTTAAGTTGTAATTATTTAACAAATAAACAAAAAACATTACTTTTAAATATTATTTAAATACTTTGAAATTTTTTTTATAAAACTTTTTAAATAATTATTTACTATTATATAATAATCGTTAATAATTTAGATCTTCAGTAAATCTAACTATATTAAAATATTTTTCAACTACAGCAGAAGTAAAAGCAGTAGGTTAATATTTTGTGTGTAAAATCAGTAATCTCTAGAGTAAGGGGGCCTGACGGCTGAGTGGACAGCGCCCGGTATTCGTAGTCATAACGTTCCGAGTTCGATCCCAGGTGTTCGCCTAGCAGTAAATAGATACCTGGGAGTTAGACAGCTGCTTTCTGGGGATGTGTAACAAAGAGAAGGCCTGGGTGGGGACCGGGCCGCGCATAAGATAAGCCCCGAAATCATCTCAAGATAACCTCAAGAATCGTATCTTACTCTGACCACGGCTTAGTTACTGATGCTGTACCACGGCTTAGTTACTGATGCTGTACCTCTTGTACCACGGCTTAGTTACTGATGCTGTACCTCTTGTACCACGGCTTAGTTACTGATGCTGTACCTCTTGTACCACGGCTTAGTTACTGATACTGTACCTCTTGTACCACGGCTTAGTTACTGCTGCTGTACCTCTTGTACCACGGCATAGTTACTGCTGCTGTACCTCTTGTACCACGGCTTAGTTACTGATGCTGTACCTCTTTGACCTTTGGCTTGGTTTGTTTTAACCATTGTTTTATCCATTCCAGTATTTTTACCAATCATTCCATTTTCTCATAGTTAGTGCCAATCTTTCGACACAATAACGAAAGAGCTTTGATGAAGTCCATGTGTGCTACATTTAATGCAAGTCCTTTTACCTTTGTAGTTGGTTACTATTACTAGAAATATTAGCTCATTAAACAGGACTAATTTTTGTACAAAATTAAATTGAGACGATTAAAAAAAAAGATTGTGCTTTGTGTGCAGACAAACAATTGTCCTGTAGCATCAAATGACCAAATCCACAAGGGCCGTGACGAGGATTCGAACCTGCGTCCGAGAGTATCCCAGACACTGCCTTAAGAGGCTACGGGATCCAGTAAGTTCAGTAGAACTTCGGTTTCAACCCTTTTACCCTGTCGTAGCTCAGTTGATTAGGGCAGTGTCTGGATGCTTGCATCAGGAACACATGAAGGTTCTTGAGGAAGGGAAAGGAGACGGGAGACATCTCCCGTCAGTCGCACCTCCACAGATCTCCAGTATCATCTATTGATACTGGTAATGACTCGAAAGGGCCACCACTTACAGGCTATTCATGCCCGTGCCACCTTTTGGGTGGCTTAATCTTCATCAATCAATCAAGGGAAAGGAGGGGATACACAAGCCAGAGCAAAATAATCAAAAGCAAATCAAACAAAATAATTTACATATTCATACATGCTATGCTTTTATTGAGACCACCCCCCAACTCCCCTAGGGTCGAATTACTAACCCCGCCCAGGATACAATCCCACAACAAGCCGACTAGCTTCTGAGAACGTACTTACTGTCAGGTGAACATAGGCATTACATGAAAGGAAATGTGCCCAACCATTTCTGTCCCGCCCAGATTCGAACCCGGAATTTTTGAGTGTGCATTGAAAACAAACCTGACTGTACTACCAGGACCTATATATGCTTACACAATGATGACAAGCATCTGACCCCGTCTGGTCAGATAAGGCAGCCTTATGAGACGCCATGGTCTCCGTGGTGTAGTGGTAAGACACTCGCCTGGCGTTCCGCGAGCGCTTTGTCCTGGGTTCGTATCCTGGCCGGGGAGGATTTACTGGGCGCAAATCCTTAACTGTAGCCTCTGTTTAACTCGACAGTAAAATGTGTACTTGGTTGTAACAACGATTCTTCGCAGCAGGGATCATATTCCAGGGACCTGCCCAAAACGCTACGCGTACTAGTGGCTGTACAAGAATGTAACAACTCTTGTATACATCTCGAGAGAGAGAGAGAAAAAAAAAAAAAAAAAAAAAAAAAAAAAAAAAAAAAAAAAAAAAAATTTGGTGGCCTTAAATCAGGTGGTAGTAATTTGAAAATAAAGATTGCACAAATGCATTATTTTTGTTTTTGCAAATCAAATAGAATACACTGCATATACAAACATGGATAACTCACAATACTAAAAATATGTTACATATTAGTGGCTTTATTTAATAAGCAATACCAATGCCTACTAACATGTTCTTATAGTATACAGTATTTTATATAGAATTACTGGATTATACTATTATAAACATTATTTGCATCAAGTAAATCTATTAAAGGGATAACAAATAAAAAATAGTATTCCTAACATTAAGGCAGGTACTTATCACACACACAGTAATGTGCCAGGAACTCTTTTATGTGACCGTCTTACAGGGACCCTTGACCACTGTACTACACAGAGCGCTTTAAGGCACTCCGAGTTGTGCTATTTTCTTTTTAATTAGGCAATATTTTAATGTTTTTTTAATGTTTTCATCACCATTTTGAAATGAAAATGGTCGAGCTTGGAAAAGTTTTGACATTAACTTTACCTGAACATAAAAACCAATAAAAATATGTCCTTGACAATTGCACTATGAAGTTTTTGCCGAAAACCCGGTGCGCAGTTTAAGGGTTAACATGGTGTGCAACCGAGTGGAACAATACGACTTGGGCAATAAAAGGCAAGATTTCCTTATCAAATAACCCTGTATATGGGCAATATGCAAGCATTTTAAGTTTCCTATTTTCAGTTCTAATAACACAAAATCATACATTTCACAACACAGTTCAAAATTGATTAACTATCAAAAGGCACTAAATATCATTCGAACCCAACAAAGAGTTAAAATACAAAAGAACAACTTTAAAAAGGTGTATAACTGAATAAATCATTCCATTTTCTCTCTCTCAAATCATGTAAATAAACAGGCGATGAGTCACAATAACGTGGCTGAAGTATGTTGACCAGACCACACACTAGAAGTTGAAGGGACGACGACGTTTCGATCCGTCCTGGAGTCCGACAGTCGACTTGAGAATGGTCCAGGACGGACCGAAACGTCGTCGTCCCTTCAACTTCTAGTGTGTGGTCTGGTCAACATGTAAATAAAAGTCTGTGTGTGTTACTGGGCAGTAATCACGACAATTGAGCTTCAACAACAGGAAGGAGCACACCAACAAACTCTACACTACACTATTGGTGGAGACTCTACATCAATATAAATAGGTACCCAACAAAACTCCTCTTGCTGGCATTTACTAGAAGTAAGATACAGCCAATACTAAATTTTTCTAACCAAAGAACTGAGGAACTTAAAAATATTTTATACCCAGCAAGGTACTTCCAGAATCTACAACGCGAGTGATGTTTGTTTCCGTAATACCAATTCCTCAAACACAAATCTGAATATAGTTCAGCAATATAGGTTCTCGTTTCCTAGGAAAGATGACGGGTACATTGCATCTCTGAAAACATTAAAGCATTCTTAACAAAATAATAATTCAAAGAATAAAAGCTTTACACAATTAAAAGTATTTGCCTATATAATAAATATTTCCATATAAACAAAATATAGTTCATACAAGGCTACTGTGGAGTAGCCAAAAACGACTGGGCCTTCTTGACGAGATCGTCCACATCTTCACCACAGTTGGATATAAACAACCGAGCCTTGTTAGCCAAGAGGCTCCACTCGGCGCGAGCATCACCAAACTGGCTCTCCAGCAGTGCCAGTGCCACAGCTGTGGCCCAAGCATTTTTGTTCTGAAAATAAGAGTTCAAGATAAATTTGACTTAAAAATAGCAAAAACCTCACACGAGTATATGAGTTACTGACCAAAAAATCAAACTACTAAAGTAGATGTAACACTGAACAAATCCACAAGGGCCGTGACGAGGGTTTGTGACCTACGTCCAAGAGGATTCCAGACACTGCCTTAATCGACTGTCTTCAAACAAACTATCTTCAGACAACATACAGCCCCCCTTTGTTAAGCCCCTTAACATGCTAAACATACATTCACTCCACACATTCTTGTGCGTGTGATCAGCAAATCTGCAGCCACATAAACTGCTCATACAACTTACTATTCAGCTTGGGGAGGCAACAGGGTAAACGATCCTTAGTGGATTAATGAAAGCAATCTTATTCTTCTGTCAAAAATGCAAATACACATCTGCAAAATTCATCTTTCATGGCTACTTTAAACAAGGTTAATACAATTAAAAATCCCCCTATTTACTTTTAACATACAATTTTCCTATTTATAATAAACAAAATATGACAACACTAGTGTTAAACTAAACCTATTAGACAACATCCAGACACCCACACAAATGTCTGAAGCACGGGATCCAGAACCAATCAAGAGATTCTCGTAACGTGCGAAATAATCGGCAACAGCATTGACAAACAAAAAGATTCAAAAGCGCCAGGTGTGGATGGAATTCAATCCCAAGTCTTAAAAAACTGATAAGAGGCACTATCACTGAAATGCTTTTTCAGAAAATATTTGAACGAAGGGATAATTTCTAGAGCAGAAATATGGAACCGTCACCCAATTTTCATAATATTCAGCAGGAAACTCCTGACCAATTGATCTAACCTCACATCTGCAAGTTCATGGAGAGAATCCTGAGGGAGGTAATCATTATCTCTGTGTACAATCTAGTATGCAGAAGATGAATCACGATAACGTGGCTGAAGATAAACCAAACCACACGTCAAAAAGTGAAGAAACGATGACGGTTCAGTCCATCCTGGATGGACACTTGCTTGATAATGGTCCAGGACAGAAAAACGTCAGCGTTTCGTCACTTTCTGAAGTGCGGTTTGGTCATCACATTCTACGCAAATAAATGCAACGTGGTTTTGTTCGAAATAAATCCTGCTTACAAACCTCCTCATGATGCTGTAAACGGTAATGAGCTATTCAGAAAAAGGACTCCCAGCAGATGTAGTGGACATGGACTTCTCTAAAGATTTTGGCAAGGTATCACACGAAAGACCAACACAGAAATTACAAGAACAAGGAATAAATGGCAAGCATACTAGAATGGATGCTCGCTTGACACGTTAAAAACAAAGAAAGCCGAATGTCGTCATAAATAGAAATGAATCTGACTGGATTAGATAAATAGAAATGAATAAATAGAAATAGAAATGAATAGAAATGAAAGTCATAAATAGAAATGAATCTGACTGGACTGACTGGATGTAGGGAATGGGGTACTGCGAGTTAGTAAGGGTCCCTTTTAAAAGAAAAAAGTCCCTTTTTGTCAAGTCATTTACATCAGTGACAGACGAGAATATTCAGCCCATCCTCCTGTTTTGGTAGTAGTTACAGTGACGAGGAGGACCATAGTACACACATACCGACGTACAACGCAGTAGAAAGTAGAAATCGGACATATTACATTTAGACAAACCGGAAAAAAAGATTTTATATTTATGTTGCAAGGACTAACTAAAACCTAAACCTAACCTTCCTAGGACTAACACACACACTCTCTGAGGCCTATTATAGTACGTGTGCGCGCTATTCTAGGCCTAGGAATATTTAAGATTGTTTTTTAGAACCCCAATAAATTAAATAGTACAAGATTCTAATTCCTTAGTTCCTCAATGTTTGTACTACGGTGCATATAGTTACAAAGAGTACTATCTAAACTATCTATCGGGTTCTTATGCCCGAAACGCTTTGCGTAATAGTGGCTTTAGGCATTGTATGTACTAGCTATACCTATAAGTTAAACAATCCTTGTAAATATTTATTGTATGTATGTACCTTACCTAAATAAAATTGTATTGTAAACAAGAAGATCAACGGGATTATTGCAAAGCACAAAACTTCCAGATGACCCCCAAGATCAAGACCTTACAAAGAGATCAACACAAATGCCACAAATGGTCAGAAGAATGGCAAACAGGAGATGCTTTTACCGCCCATAGGGTTATCTTGAGGTTATCTCGAGATGATTTCGGGGCTTTTTAGTGTCCCCGCGGCCCGGTCCTCGACCAGGCCTCCACCCCCAGGAAGCAGCCCGTGACAGCTGACTAACACCCAGGTACCTATTTTACTGCTAGGTAACAGGGGCATAGGGTGAAAAACTCTGCCCATTGTTTCTCGCCAGCGCCTGGGATCGAACCCAGGACCACAGGATCACAAGTCCAGTGTGCTGTCCGCTCGGCCGACCGGCTCCCGAAAAGGGTTGTAAGCCCATGGTACCACCTAGTGCACTTCAAAATCCAGCTGGAAAAAAAAACAAAATCGGGAAAATGAAGGGGAATCGAGTGCCTTTGACAAGCCACCGACGGTGGTGGCACAAGTGCCACCGACTTCCTGTCCCCCCTTCAAGACCACTAGAGAAATGCTAACCCTCGGGTAAATTCAGGGAAAACATTACCAAAATATAACATGTATATAGACATTAACAAGATTCGTTTATATAATATACTATTTCCTTTTATTCCAGAAATTTGTAAAGACTTACCTGTGACGGATTGGATTCTTTGAGTTGGGCACAAGACTTTGCACAATGTTTGGAGATGTCTTCGAGTGTCCACGAGCCATCAAAATTCTGTAAGCTTACAATCTTCAGAAGTTCATCATCAGAGCCACCATCATCAGACTGTTCAGTCATCACACAATCAACATCGAAGCCACCATCATCAGACTGTTCAGTCATCACACAATCAACATCGAAGCCACCACCATCAGACTGGTTTCTCGCTTTCCTCGATGCGCCTCTAACTTGTGTTTTTGCCGACTGTGGTACAGAAAAGGCAATTAATGCTGCAGACTATTATGAAGGAGCGCATTGCATCAAATGCCCTTATATTCTATTATATTAAACAGTCTCCGTGGTGTAGTGGTAAGACACTCGCCTGGCGTTCCGCGAGCGCTATGTCATGGGTTCGTATCCTGGCCGGGGAGGATTTACTGGGCGTAATTCCTTAACTGTAGCCTCTGTTTAAACGCAACAGTAAAATGTGTACTTAGTTGTAACAACGATTCTTCGCGGCGGGGATCGTATTCCAGGGACCTGCCCGAAACACTACGCGTACTAGTGGCTGTACAACCATGTAACAACTCTTGTATATATCTCAAAAAAAATATTGTCGGGGCAGATAAGTTACGACAAATAGGAAATGAAAAAGATGCCGATCATTTGTCATTGCAATCAATCTGAGCTACCTATGTGCTTTAATATACCTACAAATTTTCTTTCATCTTTTATTTTTTTCTTGCTATGTAACTTTTATCATTTATCATTAGATTATTGCATCATAATCAGATTATTGCATCATAATCAGATTATTGCATCATAATCAGATTATTGCATCATAATCAGATTATTGCATCATAATCATTGTGGTTGTGTGATGTGGCACACAACCACTAATTTTGAAACCAGTCCCCCAAAAAACAGATTTTTAGGAAATATTTTGTTTGTGGATGCCACAATGTGTCTTGTGCATATATTCGTATGATAAATTGTGGATGCTTCGAGGCGTCTAGCGAGTGCAAGTGTTAATTTGTAGAACAGATTACCAGGTAAGAAACTAATAGAGGTGGTATCACTTTTTAAGCATAGGTTAGATATATAGATGAATGAGTTTGGTTATCTTGAGATGATTTCAGGCTTCTTTTTTTTTTTTTTTTTTTTTTTTTTTTTTTTAATGTCCCCGCGGCCCGGTCTTCGACCAGGCCCCCACCCCCAGGAAGCAGCCCGTGACAGCTGACTAACACCCAGGTACCTATTTTACTGCTAGGTAACAGGGGCATAGGGTGAAAAACTCTGCCCATTGTTTCTCGCCGGCGCCTGGGATCGAACCCAGGACCACAAGTCCAGCGTGCTGTCCGCTCGGCCGACCGGCTTCCTGGGCCCAATAATCCTTCTGCACATTCATTAATTCTTACATTCATACACAATCACACGTCGCAGACCTTGTCTGTAGTGGGCAACAGTCTACCAACTCTGTCAATAACAAAATTCTGCCTCATTTGATTAATGGTTCAATCTTTTTTCCTAAATTCATTTGATACGGTACACTACTATCTCGCACCTTCAGTTAAATTCTCCACATCTCGCTTCATTATCGAATTAAAAATTGTGACACTAGCTCTCCACATATGTCAGTTGCTTAATTTAGAACCTGTACTTGAGGTCGATCTCGAACCCATTGTTGATGTGACGACTTATATTGAATTTTGTAACTAGCTCATCAAGATTGTAACTTGCTTAGCTAAATGAACTGTGGGGTTCAGTCCCTGAGCCCATTATGTGCCTCTGTAACCCTTTCCACTACTGCCCACAAGATGGGTATGGGGTGTATAATAAATGAACTAAACTAAAAACTATCGAACTACTGTATACGTGATCATTTCTGCATTAACCTCGGCAACACCTGCTGCAGTGCGCACTTTTTTTATGCCTCTACACATTGACCAAATCACACTAGAAAGTGAAGGCTTCAAGTCACACTCTACTTGAGAATGGTCCAGGACGGAGCGAAACGTCGTCGTCCCTTCACCTTCTAGTGTGTGGTCTGGTCAACATATTTAAGCCACATCATTGTGACTACTCGTCTGCATGCCTCTATACTGATGCAATTACCCGTCAACAGACGGGAGTTTGCTGGTGTTCTACTTTTAATTCCTCACAAACTACCAAAAACATTCAATTTTACACTTCCAGCCAACAGACTTTTAAAGTCTAATTTCTTCATCCAATTTTAATTTCTTCTCTACCACTTAACATTAATTCTCGCAATGATCTTTTTAAATATTCTTGTAATTCTTTGCACAGACGTTTAAATAATTTCCTTAACTTAATTATGTACAGTATTTCATATAGCATTAACCATCATTCAAATTCATTAGAACTAATGATTACTGTAAAACAATAGTAAAAGTAAAATACCCTGTAGAGGTACGCTAACGAAAGCTGGAAACAATAAAATATCAATATTAGAATTTAATTTAAATGATATCAAGATCCTTACACATTGTTCAGAAGCATTACTTCCAAACCTAAACCCTCCACCTCCCGCCGTAGCAGTTGTGGGGGCTTGGGCTCCAGATAATGAACCACCAGTCGTGGGGACTTGGGATCCAAATAACGAACCACCAGTCGTGGGGGCTTGGGATCCAAATAACGAACCACCAGTTGTGGGGGCTTGGGCTCCAAATAACGAACCACCAGGTGCAGGGGCTTGGGCTCCAAATAATGAACCACCAGTTGTGGGGACTTGGGCTCCAAATAACGAAGTATCAGTTGTACAACCAAATGAGGATGCAGCGCTACCAAAAGCAACACTTTGACTCAAAGGTGTTGGCTGCAATGTTAACAAAACCAAAATTAAAAAGGTAAAGCAACATATGTATCAGCAGAAAGTGCAAAGCCATTACGACCATCAAGTACTTGAAAGGGATGCGAGGAGAAGAATATTGAGAGCACCGAGGGCCGAGTATAACGAGAAGCGATTAAACAATTTAAATGGCACCATAGCTATGAGGCCTTTGTCAATGAAGAAAGGAAAGTGTACACAGGTGTACAGTATATGTACACAGGTGTACAGTATACACCTGCCTACAATTTCAATTATTTATTTTTCAACTTCTATGCAAATGGAGACATTTATTAGCAATCTTTTCTTGCCAAGTTTCTACCAATTAAAATAATTTTGTTGATAATTACGAATGAAATCCCCGTCTGATCCGAGAGCATAAATCCTGAATTTATGTATACCTTGACTCGCACAAGGCTCCAGAAAGCCTTGATAGTGTGGGCATTACGCTTAGTGCCATAAACAATCATCACTCGGCCTTCTCTAACCATCCCATTAATTAAACAATCTGTGAGCTTCTCCCTCTGGAATTTAGCATAAAGACTTGTGGTCTAATAGAAGTACAAGCCCACATGGCATCCAAAGATTACGTCAAGTGCGACTCCATACGCCATGCATTTTAATGGCTTTTATTTATTATGCAATCTGGACCTATGGAAAATAATATCCTTACCCTAGTTATGTACAGTATTTCATATAGCATTAACCATCATTCTATTGCACTAAAGTAAAATATATTATAATTAAAGATTACTGTAAAATAATAGTAAAAGTAAAATACCCTGTGGAGGTACGCTATTGAAAACTGGAAACTATAAAATATCAATATTTGAAGTTAAATGATATCAAGATCCTTACACATTGTTCAGAAGCATTACTTCCAAACCTAAACCCTCCACCTCCCGCCGTAGCAGTTGTGGGGGCTTGGGCTCCAAATAACGAACCACCAGCTGTGGGGGCTTGGGCTCCAAATAACGAACCACCAGCTGCAGGGGCTTGGGCTCCAAATAACGAACCACCAGCTGTGGGGGCTTGGGCTCCAAATAACGAACCACCAGCTGTACAACCAACTGAGGATGCACTGCTACCAAAAGCAACATATTGACTCAAACGTGTTGGCTGCATTGGCGTCAAAGGTGCTGGCTGCAATGTTAACAAAACCAAAATTAAAAAGGTAAAGCAGCATAATTACCAGCAGAAAGAGCAAAGCCATTACGACTATATAGCACTTGAAAGGGACACAAGGATAATGATACTGGGTGTACTGGGGACCGAGTGTAATGAGAAGCGATTAAACAATTTATATGGCACCATAGCTATGAGGCCTTTGTCAATTTACGAAGCAAGAGTGTATGCAGGAGTACAGTATATACCTATTCTTCAATTTCAATTATTTACGTTCAACTTCTATGCAAATGGAGACATTTATTAGCTATCTTTTTGCCAAGTTTCTACCAATTAAAATAATTTTGTTGATAATTATGACTGGACCCCCTGTCTGATCCAAGAGCATAAATTCTGAATTTATGTTGACTAAACCACTCACTAGAAAGTGAAGGGACGACGACGTCTCGGTCCGTCCTGGACCATTCACAATCGACTTCAGAATGGTCCAGGACGGACCGAAACGTCGTCGTCCCTTCACTTTCTAGTTTGTGGTTTCGTCAACATATTTCAGCCACGTTATTGTGACTTGTGTGCACGTGAATTTATGTATACCTTGATGTACACACAACTCCCGAAAACCATGGAATACACGGCTCCAGAAAACCAGCAAACACTTAGTGCCATAAACACAATCATTACTGCCTTCTCTAACCATTCCATTAGTTAGTTTAACAATGTGTTTGCCTGTTTGTTGGACCAGACCACACACTAGAAGTTGAAGGGACGACGACGTCCCTTCGACGTCGTCGTCGAAGAAGTTGACGACGACGACAATCTGTTTGCCTCTTAACATACAGAAATCTGCTGGTGGTGGTCTATTTTTTATTTCTCACAAACTAGACGTTTAAAGTACTCTATCTCGTGTGTTCTCTCCTCTCTCTCTTCTCTCTCTCTCTCTCTCTCTCTCTCGTTCTCTCTCGATTCATTCACTGTTGGTGCTTTTGTTTATTAATTTCTTTATACAATTTTCACCTCTTTTTCTTAACACTAATCATCCCATTGATCTTTTTAAGCATTCTTGTAATTCTTTGCACAGACGTTTAAAATAATATCCATAACTTAGTTATGTATTTCATATAGCATTGATGAAAGAGGAAATGTATATGTTTATCTCTCGGAATGTTTGGTAACATGTTTATTGTTTGTGATGTGTGTATATGTATGTATTAACACGTTGTACTGAACGGGGTGAGAATAGCTTGAGCTACCTCATCCCTTTGTGTGTATTTTACCTCAATAAACTTATTTCAATTTCAATTTCAATTATAGCATTGATTATCAAGAGCACCAAAGTAAAACAAAAATTTGAATTAATTACTGTAAAGCAATATTAAGAGTAATAAGCGACAGATAGCTAAAACACTTGATCCAAGTACTACATGCGGAAAAACCACGCAGACAAATTAGAGAATGCCGAATGCGGTTTCGGTCCGTGTGTTGGCCTTCCTCAGAGCAAGAAAGTACGACTGGGGAAGCCCGTCACCCCTTGGGGGGGGGGGGGGGGGACCCCGTCTCCCCTTGGATGGGGGGAGGCTTGCTACCTGGATAATTGGACTACCTTCCCGACCCACGCTCATTCTTGCTCCGAGCAAGAGCCACACATGGACAGAAAACGCATTCACAATTCTCTTAATTTTTCAACATGGTTTTTCTGCATTGAAAGTAATATATATAGGAAAGCTACTGAAAGATGGAAACTATAAAATGTCAACATATAAAGTTAATTTAAAATGTTATGAATCAAGATCCTTACCGACATTCCTCCTAGAGGAGGACTCTTTTTAAATCTAACGGCTCCGGAACTCGCAGATACACCCCACATAGGCATAGCGAAGTTCTGGGGTACAAATGCGGGTGGAGCTGCACCAACCCGTTGTGACATCAACTGCAAATGTTAAAACAAAAAATAAAGAGGCAGCTAATACACTGAGCACATTGAGGACACTGTAATGAGAAGATTAACCAATTTAGATGGCACTGTAGCAACTTGGTCATTGGTGCCATAAAAAACCAGCGTTGAATGTAATGAAATGCCATTTTCTGGCCGAGTCCCGGAGGCTCCCCAAAGCTATCCATGGCTGATATGGATACCCTAACTATTTTGCATCAGTCGATGTGGGTGGAGTTCTAGGCCTACCGGGGACCACGAGCCAGAACCTGGGCCCCTCACAGAGGCACGGGGAGCAATGGCCCATAGAAATGCACATGTGATTTGGAGCATTCTATATCTGCCATCGACCGGGACAGGCACCCAGAAAGGCAAGTGCCACAAAACAAACCCCTATTCTGGTTAACAACAAAAATCGACAAATGAGTGGACAGAACTCCAAGAAAAACGAACAAGCATGACGTCACACAAGCCGCGCCGCATGTCTGCGCAGCTCCCCCCCTCCCCAGGAGGGAAAAGGGGGAGCCCCAGACCCCCGCGCCGGCGATCCACGCCCCAGTTCCGAGGCTGAATATCAAAATCGCGAAAAAAACACCGACTGGAGAGCGGGAGGGTGCTGGGGAGCCTCCGGGACTCGCCCAGAAAATGGCGTTTCATTACAGTCAATGCTGGTTTTCTGGGGGGGAGCCCCTACGGCTCCCCGGAGCTACTTCACCAAAGACTACCTAAGAAAACAAGGGAACATACCCAGGAGGTAGTCGGTGAACCACTCCTCAACACGAAGTCGAGACAACAGGCTGCATCCGCCGACCTAAAGCGACACGGGCCCGACTGGGCCCAACAACGTTCACAAGGGAGCGTGCAGCCAGGACTGTCCAACTGCCAAAAACCCCGTGCCCGAATGTCAGCCCAAGACCTATTGCCGAAGACAACAGCTAGAGCAGCAAACTTACGAACGTCGTGGGCACAGGGATAGACCACAGGCTGGCTAGATTTAATAACCCCACGGACTACCCGAGACCCGAACCCGCGAACAGGGAAGAAGGGAAACGATCAACCCAAAGCACGTCCCCGGACACAGAAGCCGTGACGAGCAGATAACGGCGGAGGGCTGCAATCGGACACAACACAAGGTGAACCCCCGGCCTGACAACCCAAGCAACAACCCAAGGACCCCTCCGGAAAGTAGCAGTCGCATTCTTCGCCAGAAAAAAGGGAGATGGCTGCAGACGAACAAACCTATGACCATGACAATAGGAGCAAAAAACAACTGCGCCCGAGAAGAGCATGAAGCTCCGCCACACAACCCCCAGAGGCCAATGCCAACAGAAAAAAAAAAAAAAAAAAAAAAAGAGCCTTAGCAAAGCAATCCTGAACCGAAGGAGCCACAACAAACCGAGTAGAAGAAAGACAGGAGAGCACTCTGTCCAAAGACCAGGATGGCACAGGCAGTGCAGGAGCAGGCTGGAGGTGAAACAACGCACGAGAGCCTGCAAAACGGTGCAGAAGGAACATCGATACCGAAAGCTAGCAGCAGCAGCTCCGCCAGTGCTGCACGATACGATATAAATCATGGTCCACATTGCCGGGTTTGAGAGCCTCAGTAGTGAGTGAGCAACCAAGGCTGGCACTCGCAGCATGAGCGCACAGCTCTGCTGTTCAGCGTGTGACCACAGCATCGCCTAATAATGTCAAAATATATATATAACCTGTATTATTTAGCCATGATAGTATTATAGAAGAGCCTGAGTGTGATAATGACTGGGTACAATGTTCAAATATCAGTGATTCAATGCTGTTCATGATGTTCACAGCACTAGCCACAGCACCACAGCATTATTTCGTCCATCTAGGAATCTTCAAACGACTTCTTTGGTTCCTTTTCAAAATAAACTTGTGGTCAATTATTCATTTACAGAAATTAGTGACCAGGATTGTGGTTATAATTAGCGTTGTGCATAGTATTGTCGAAGGAGGAATTTTGGTGAGGGAGGGAGGGAGAATTGAGGTAGCCTCACTGTGTGGCAGCCACTCTTTGTTTTGCTCACCATACTAGCTTCGTGATTCGCTACGGGGAACACACATGTACATGGGTATATACAGTGTGTGTGTATATAGTGTAATAACAGCAAAAGGAGTATGTTGAGTGGAGCTAATGTTGGTGAGGGAGGTGACGTCGTAATCGTAGAGTCGTCTGCTGTGTGATTTCTCATGCAGTGTATGGTGGCCACAATACCGGCTTACTTGCATAGTTCTGGTAAATAAAACATGTAGATAAGTATATATAACATGTGTAAATAGTGTAATAAAAACAATAACAGTATGGTGGGAGGAGCAATGTTGGCGAGTAAGATGTTTGAGTGAGGGAGGGCTGGCTGGGTGTGGCTGCTCTCACTCGCGATGTTCTGAATGTGTTGATGGTGAATGTATAGTGTGTGACAGTATATAGTCTGTAAATAGATTGTATATATACATAAATTAGCATGATACATGGTAAATATGTGCAACATGTGTACACAAGTGTCATGCACGTAACACAGTGTCCTTGGACAGTACGGATGTTTTACTGCCATAATATAGTGTACATGTTCATTATACATAGGATTAGCACATAAAAACAAAATGTATTTGGAACTGTGCGCAAAAAATGAACAAAAATATATTCGCGACAACTCCCAGGCGCCCCACCGGCCCCGGGAGCTTATGGCACTGGCGCACGGGGAATGATGACGTCACGCGCCACCTTACGGACCCCATAGCAGCCAATTTTGAAATTCTGTTGCTATACCCATATACAGGGAGGGGTTTTTGACACCAAGAACAAAAAATAATTTTTTCCCGAGTATTTCTTGCGCACTGGGGGGGGGGGTGTCATTTATAGGCCGCGCAGTTAAAGGGTCAAGATGCGTAAAATCGCCCCAGAAAAACCCGGACCACTAACGCCTCGCTCCACTCAAACGTGCGGGCTCGACAGAATGAGTCCCAAGCATCCAGCGAAAACAAGGAGCAGTCTGCAAGCCAGGACGAACCCGGAACCTCACAACGCACCCGGTAAGCACACGTCGATCCAAACCCAAACGAAGAAGGAACCATTACGGAGGCAAACTCCGGGTCACGCAGGAGGCAAGCCGCAAAGGCCGACCGCACCGCAGGCGAAGAGATGCGGGTAGCCGAAAACCTCCGGAAGACGGAACCGAAGAAACCACAGGGACACTGAACCGAACCCTGGGAGGAGCAGAACAAAGTCCAAATTGTACGCAGAGGGGGAATAGAAAAAAAAGCCTCACCCAATAATTACTCTAGTACTGTTACAGGATGAGAGCTACGCTCGTGGTGTCCCGTCTTCCCAGCACTCATAACACTTAACTACAGTGAAACTACAGTGAAACTTGTAGTGAAACTACAGGTACTGACTGTTCAGTCGGTTCACTTTCAGCTTCTCCGTCTTCCTTTGAAAGATCTCGTCTTAATAACCATAATTTCCCCTTCACCACTTTGTAATTTCTTAACATTTCTGAGTACCTGGTTGATACCTGGTTGATAAGGTTCTGGGAGTTCTTCTACTCCAAGCCCGGCCCGAGGCCAGGCTTGACTTGTGAGAGTTTGGTCCACCAGGCTGTTGCTTGGAGCGGCCCGCAGGGCCACATATACCTGGTTGATGGGGTTCTGGGAGTTCTTCTACTCCCCAAGCCCGGCCCGAGGCCAGGCTTGACTTGTGAGAGTTTGGTCCACCAGGCTGTTGCTTGGAGCGGCCCGCAGGCCCACATACCCACCACAGCCCGGTTGGTCCGGCACTCCTTGGAGGAATAAATCTAGTTTCCTCTTGAAAATGTCCACGGTTGTTCCGGCAATATTTCTTATGCTTGCTGGACTCCTTATGGGGGATTTCTTATGCTTACTTCTTCCATCTTGTTTAGCTCCGTTTAGGGTGATCCTCAAGAGTCTACCTTTCCCGTTTTCATACTTGCCAATTCTCACGTAGTCACGGAACATTTAGATAAGGGTAGTAGGGTTATCTTTAGGTTATCTTGAGATGATTTCGGGGCTTTTTTAGTGTCCCCGCAGCCCGGTCCTCGACCAGGCCTCCACCCCCAGGAAGCAGCCCGTGACAGCTGACCCAGGTACCTATTTTACTGCTAGGTAACAGAGGCATAGGGTGAAAAACTCTGCCCATTGTTTCTCACCGGCGCCCGGAATTGAACCCGGGACCACAGGATCACAAGTGCAGCATGCTGTCCACTCTGCCGACCAGCTCCCTTATCACCCTGGACAAAAACTCAGATTTATATAGTCACATACATGTACATTCATTTAGTAACTGCATTTAAACCCCTTATCATTACTTACCATTTCTGGACTTATTTCTGGACTCGTTTCTGGACTCTCTTGACACTTTTGTGCTACCGTCTTTCCATCCTGATCCACTCCAACAAGAGCGGTCAATTCTGAGACGACGCCACTAGCAATGCTCAGGGCAATCATGTCTTCTGCAACATCATCTGCAATTCAGAAAATTTCATTCAGAAAATTTAAGAGTAAAGAAAGTCTGGTAAGGAAAGTGGTCGACGGAATAAAGGCAACGCAACAAGAGCACTCTAGGAAGCGACTCTTCCAATACGAATACGTCAGTATAATTCCTGTTGTTGGGGACAGGAAGCCTGCACTTAGGCTTGTACCGAGACCAACCCCTCTTTCCTCAGGTAAAACCAATTTTTTTTCTTTTTATTATTATTTTCTACCACAGACGTGGCCACACATTTACAATGCTAACCAGCATATATATACATTTTCTTCTGTCCTCCATGGACAGGGTTAGAGATGTGTTAAACATATAGTTCAGGGGTTTATTGAACAATCAACCACAGAAGGCAATTCGGTGCTTTTAAAATGCTAAGCTAACCTACATATGTAAAAGCATTGACTTCCACCCAGGATGCAACCCAAAACAGTTGCTCAACCCCAGATTATTTATTGCTAGGTGAACAGAAGCACTAGTTGAAAGGAAACATGCCCAACCATTTCTGTCCCACACAGAGATCCGAATCCGAAATGACAAATATCAAGTCAAGGACACAAACCGCTCACTACAGAACCCCCATTATGAATAAAGTACAGTACAAATAAACAAGAAGAACAAGCACACAATACAGCCTATCCTCCTACACTGAAAGGACTTGTATTTTGTGTAAAGTACCAAGGTGTAATCAAAGTCCACCTTGACAGCCGAGTGGACAGCGCTTCGGATTCATAGTCCCGAGATTCCGGGTTCGATCCCCGGTGGAGGCGGAGACAAATGGGCAAAAAGTTTCTTTCTTCCCTGATGCCCTTGTTGCCTAGCAGTAAATAGGTACCTGGGAGTTAGACAGCTGCTACGGACTGCTTCCTGGGGGGGGGGGGGTGTAACAAAAAGGAGGCCTGGTCGAGGACCGGGCCGCAGGGACACTAAGCCCCGAAATCATCGAGATAATCTCAAGGTAATGATCGACCACCAAAACGTTGACTGTCTTACAGTATTACCGAATTAGTGTATTACCAAAATTACTTAAAATTTCGAAACGATTTAAATACATTGCCAAAATTTGGTAATTATTGTATTGGCAAAACTCTGTTCATATTAGTGGCTTTAGACATAGTATACACTAGCTCTATCTAGAAATCTAACATTCTGGGAGGAGCCATTTTGGCAAGGGAGTGACGCGCTGTTGTCTGCTACCTGCTGTATCACTTGACGTGTAGGTTTTTGTGCCCACTATGTTTGGACTCCATACCAGCTTAGTTGTACAGTTATGGTGAACAAAACATGTACATACTTATATATAACATGTGTATATAGTGTAACAACAGCAAAAGGACAATGTTGGAAGGAGTTATGTTGCCGAATGTGGTGTTGGTGAAGGAGGGAGAGACAGAGAGGTGGCGACTGATAGCTGGCGAGTGGCTATCTTGCGGTTATCTCGAGGTGATTTCGGGGCTTAGTGTCCCCGCGGCCCAGTCCTCGACCAGGCCTCCACCCCTAGGAAGCAGCCCGTGACAGCTGACTAACTCCCAGGTACCTATTTACTGCTAGGTAACAGGGGCTTCAGGGGTGAAAGAAACTCTGCCCATTGTTTCTCGCCGGCGCCCGGGATTGAACCCGGGACCACAGGATCATGCGCCCAGTGTTCTGTCCACTCAGCCACCGGCTCCCTTTTGGCGGCCACTCCTTTTGATTGGACTCGCCATACCAACGTAACGTTTGTTACAGTGAACACATATGTAGATAGGTATATACAACGTGTTTATATAGCGCAATAACAGCAAAACCAGTTTGATTCATCATAGAACATAATATACATGTCACATATATGAGCCCAATAATTTTCAGTACAGTACAGTATAGCGATATTCCACACATTGAACTATATAAATTCCACAAATTACACTTTTGAATACTATTACAGCAAAAAACCAGAGAAGAAACAAATGAGAAACAGCAAAATACTGTAATTATGAAACGTTATATTACACTGCAACTGCCGCCCTCCCCCACCCCCCCCCACAAGGTGGCGGGGCCGAGTGACCATGAGCGCTCCATCGCTCAGCGCCATAATTTGCTCAACTTCTCGGCTCCATCACGGCTGAAGTACTGTATGTAACATACAATATTTTATTCTAGTTTCCCCGTGATCAGAGCCTGCAATTTAACAATATAAGAGAAAAGTTTTTTGCAAAGAATTTATTTTCGGCACACCACAGGAATGTTATATTTTAAGGCTAGACAGCACGATGGTTAATACTGTACCAGTACCGCCTCAGGATATATTTCAACATCACGTACGAGGGTAGGAAAAATAACAAGGAAAACTATTTATTATTTAACGTTAAACTTGATCTGATGGAACAGCTTCTGTCTCAATAACTGTACTTCATTAAATTAAGGTTTCACTACACACAGAAATGACAATTGCGTGATGCATCAAATGAATAAAACCCCGATTTGTGTCTCGGAGAGGCTGCAGGATCCAGCAAGTTCAGTAGAACTTCGATTTCAACTCCTTTTGACCATGTCGTAGCTCGGTCGATTAAGGCAGCGTCTAGGATGCTCTCGGACGCAGGTTCGAATCCTCGTCACGGCCCTTGTGGATTTGTTCATTAAGGTTTCACTGTTCTATGCACTGTATAAAACAAAAAGTGTATATTGACCAGACCACACACTAGAAGGTGAAGGGACGACGACGTTTTGGTCCATCCTGGACCATTCTCAATCGACACAATCAACTCGAGAATAGTTCAGGACGGACCGAAGCGTCGTCGTCCCTTCACCACCTAGTGTGTAGTCTGGTCAACATTAGCCACGTTATTGTGACTCGTCGCCTGCAAAAAGTGTACATGTATGCAGGCAAACTAGTAACAAGACAGATGCTTACCTTATGCAGGCGATGAGTCACAATAACATGGCTAAAGTATGATGACCAGACCACACACTAGAATGTGAAAGGACGACGACGTTTCGGTCCGTCCTGGACCATTCTCAAGTCGATGGTCCGTCCTGGACCATTCTCGACTTTAGAATGGTCCAGGACGGACCGAAACGTTGTCGTCCTTTCACATTCTCGTGCGTGGTCTGGTCACGATGCTTACCTTCCTCATCAAGCTGCCACTGGTTGATCTGGGCTCGTGCTGCCAAGCGATGGAGGCTCATCTCACTGTCATGGACACTGACAATATCACTGTCCTTGATGCCGATGCTTAGATCAGCATCCCCGATATTACCCATGATGCTTAGTGTCTTTACCTGTACAAGAGTAAAACCTATAATTGAAAAAATCTAATTTGTTTTATACAAAATCTAATTCTTTGTACAACCTTTTTTTGTACAAGATAAAAAAAAGACTCATACTTTATCTACAAATTTGTTAAAATATGAGAATACTGTATGTACAGTACCATATTTGCCGACAGATAAAATTGTGTTTTTTCTACATTAACTGAACACATTTTTTTGTATTTACATGCGCAAAATCCAGCCCATTCTCCCGTTTTGATAATACATACAGTTACAATATGGACCATCGTACAAATATTGACAACGAACAATTAGAATTTGGACAAGCCAGAAAAGGTTTTGAAATTAATTATATATACAAGAGTTCTTGCATTCTTGTAAAGCCACTAGCACGCATAGCATTTTGGGCAGGTCCTGAATCCTAATTTATTACGTTGCTAATAAAATAATCCTAGGCCTAATAAATTCACAGAGGCCTAATATAGTATACATGTGCTAATACCAGGCCTAGGAATATTTAAGTTTGGTTTTAGCTTTATTTTTCTGGACTATATCACGTAAACAGTACTAAATGCTGCTATCTAATTGTCCATAATGTCAATGCATGTACAATGGTGCACAGTTAGAAAAAGTACTGTCTAAACAGGAGGTTATCTTGGAGGTTATCTCGAGACAATTTCGGGGCTTTAGTGTCCCCGCGGCCCGGTCCTCGACCAGGCCTCCACCCCCAGGAAGCAGCCTGTGACAGCTGACTAACACCCAGGTACCTATTTTACTGCTAGGTAACAGGGGCATAGGGTGAAAGAAACTCTACCCATCATTTCACGCCGGCGCCCGGGATCGAACCCGGAACCACCGGATCACACGCCAGTGTTCAGTCCGCTCAGCCACCGGCTCCTCTCACGGGTTGGAAACATATCGCATCTTTCCCTTACAAAACCACTTGAAAATCAATTTCAACATGTGAATGATCATTTGATTTTTCCCCAAAAAGTCATTGAAAATTAGGTTGGTCTTATATGCCAGCACATTACAATATTTAAAACCCATTCTCCTAAAATAATAGTACTTATACCAACTATTTGGTCAACAGTACAAATATGAACTGCTGCATCCAAACAATGTTTACATTTAAATAAATAATAAATGTTTATTTAGGTAAGGTACATACATACAAGAGATTTTTACAAAGTTTGTTGGATTTATAGATAGAGCTAGTACATACAATGCCTAAAGCCACTATTACGCAAAGCGTTTCGGGCAGTGGTACTATTAGTTGTGTCAAGGCCACAAAAACAAACGTTAGAACATTACTAGGCCTAGTAGAGCACATACATGTACTGTATTAGACCTATGATAGCACACATTAGGCATAGAATTGCTTATTAATGACTTGGACAGACTAGATTAAGATTTTTCATTATTTTTCCATATTTTTAACATGCCATTTAGGCTAATTCAATAACAAAATGAGAACCTTTCCCAGTCCAACAGTTCATTTTTGTACATTTGACCAAATAGTTTTAAGAACGATATTATTACTGTAGCTGTAGATGGGCTGTAATATTTTGCCTGGCATATCTCCACAGTCACCTATGACTCCCAAGTATCTCCTGCATACTTACAATGCTAGTCGAGGGCACCCGAGCATAAAGTGTCAGATGCTGACCGCCGAAGATAATGGGTGGAACCTTGGGGACGAGTTTAACACTGCTAGTCGGCTCCATTTCGCAAGCAACTCGAACATTCTGCACATTATCCTGAACCATGGAACTCACTAGCCCCATCACCTGTAAACAATCAAGATGGATGGGAATTATTGCCTGGTAGATATGAGTTCGAGATCACAAAAATCCACATACGTGCTGGAAGAGAGGTTATCTTGAAGTTATCTCGAGATGATTTCGGGGCTTTAGTGTCCCCGCGGCCCGGTCCTCGACCAGGCCTCCACCCCCAGGAAGCAGCCCGTGACAGATGACTAACACCCAGGTACCTATTTTACTGCTAGGTAACAGGGGAATAGCTAGGTAAGGTAACAGGGGAATAGGGTGAAAAAAAACTGTGCCCATTGTTTCTCGCCGGCGCCCGGGATCGAACCCGGGACCACAGGATCATAAGTCTAGTGTGCTGTCCGCTCGGCTGACCGGCTCCCCAGCATAAGGAGAGGAGCATAATCTATAGCTAATTGAGAGCTTCCTCTTACGACAATATACAGGTAATAAGATAATCCTTCACAGCCGTTGGTTGTATCGGGAAATGTGTGCACGAGATGCACAATGACATCCTAAAAGCACGATAGCCGAGAAAATACAGTATTGAAAATACTGTACACACAAATGACAATAGCGTGATGCATCATATGCACAAATCCACAAGGGCCGTGGATTCGAATCCTCATCACGGCCCTCGTGAATTTGTTTACAGTATTGAAGCTATACAATGGCATCGAATCCACCTCGAACTCCTTAAAAGATGACAAATTCTTACCACCCGTGTTTAAAATACTGCTGCTCTGCCAATATAGGACTCTTATTAAACAATCTTTAAATGCAAAATTTCTATAATCGGTAAATTATCTGAATATGAGCAGCCATTAATAATCTTTATTATAAAAGAGGAAACTAGAGGAAAGACTAGAGGAAATATTAGACTAGAGGAAACTAGAGGAAAGACTAGAGGAAAACCTCACCACTACACAAGTCATGGTGTAGGGGGAGCCGGCCAGCCAGCCAAGCGGACAGCATGCGCGACACGCGATCCTGTGGTCCCAGGTTCGATCCCAGGCGCCGGCGAGAAACGATGAGCAGAGTGTCTTTCACCCTATGCCCCTGTTACCTAGCAGTAAATAGATACCTGGGTGTTAGTCAGCTGTCACGGGCTGCTTCCTGGGGGTGGAGGCCTGGTCAAAGACCGGGCCGCGGGGACACTAAAAGCCCCGAAATCAACTCAAGATAATCAAGATGGTCCAGGTAACATCTTGCGACATGCCAGTGTCAGGGAGGGTAAATGCTTTCAAACAAAACAAGATTAAGCCATACTTTATATACGTGACGCAGGGATTTCTTATCCTTGTGAGCATCTGCATATCAACAAGGAAAATTACATCAATTTTAAATACACAATGATATGACAATAGCGTGATATGGGAAAATCTTTGGAGCAGGTCTGTCGATCTGAACCCGAACCCTAGGTCACCCCCAGAGGCATGCATTACCCACTGAACCACAACGTGCTTAAAAATAACACGACCCGAAACCCACAGAAACTTAAAAAGGCGTTTAAAGCCACATATTGGTCCAAACAGAAATGCTTACATCTTGGCAGACCTATGATGTAGACTTGATCCCAGCACTCGGCTCAAAATAATCTCAAACAAAATTTATTTGGAAGACTGGATTCAATATTGAATTTTGCTTTATTGATGACCACACGAAAGGCAGGAAAATAATTACATGGCAAAATGCAAGACAAATACTGTACTCGTACATGCAGATCACTTCAGAGCGATTGGTGTAAACAATCAAATCACCTGCAGGTTATTTAAGGTGCTCTATTTTATTCAAAATCCCCACCCATTCTAATGGGACATCATTTGATACTAGAGGCCTCTCTTGATCGCTTGTCATATTTGGGGAAAAATCCCCCCCCCACCCCCAATGTGGGCGAGAGGGATTTTTGTACTGTTTACAGTGATGTACACGTATATATTAAACATGTACAATATATACGCGAGCAGTTTTAACGACAGGTTCAGAATGGGTCATCGTGTAGTAGGTTCAAGAACACGCAAGATACATAAACAAAGGAACTTTACCTTAAGTTGAAGTCTGTCTTGCTGGACAACCATCTCCGAACGTCCACCGCCAGCTCGGGCCACTCCGCGTATGAGAGCGGTGGACGCCCCGTAACCAATGCCTACTGCAAAAACCCGAGTTTCGTGAGCGTGACGTCCTACCATTTGAGTTACCTCATCCACATTGTACACTTCTCCATCAGAGATCAACAGAATCTGAAATTAAAATTAAAACAAAATTGATGTAACCAAACTTAAACATAGTAAAATACTATTCATTATACATAATCAGGCACATATACTTTATTTACACACCACACACATATGGGAATATGATCACCAGTTAGAAAAAAAATAACATGAATTGACTAAATTGACAAATTGATTCCTGAAATCGGCAACTTCATGAACAAGAGGACACAGATTCAGGCTAAGGAAACAAAGGTGCCAGAAATTTTTTAGAAAGTTTTCTTTTGCAAACAGGGTGGTAGACGGTTGGAACAAGTTAAGCGAGAAGGTGGTGGAGGCCAAAACCATCGGTAGTTTCAAAGCGTTATATGACAAAGTGCTGGGAAGACGGGACACCACGAGCATAGCTCTCATCCTGTAACTACACTTGGGTAATTACAATCAGGCACACAAACAAGTTAAGCACGGCAACGTTTCCATTTGAAGGTTACCTCGAGATGATTTCGGGGCTTTAGTGTCCCCGCGGCCCGGTCCTCGACCAGACCTCCACCCCAAGGAAGCAGCCCGTGACAGCTGACTAACACCCAGGTACCTATTTTACTGCTAGGTAACAGGGGCATAGGGTCAAAGAAACTCTGCCCATTGTTTCTCGCCGACGCCCGGGATCGAACCTGGGACCACAGGATCACAAGTCCCGCGTGCTGTCCGCTCGGCTCCCTAAGTCTGCTTCCCTTGAAGTCCGAATAATTTTCAAATTCCATTGACGGGGACGGAAATCTCTCCTTGGGCTGAGAATACCCAATTGTAAAAATATTACTTGCAGAACTTACTTGTCTTGCATATCCAGGAGTTGGGGCTGTCGAGTAAACATGCTGAAATGGGCCGAAAATTTCAGTACCGCCCATGTCGGCATCCATCTTCTCCTGGAGTTTACAAGCTTTTTTTAACGTGTTTTCGTTGTACTCACAACTCCTGGAAATACAAAAGGCAGTCATTTGAAACAAATTATAAATTTACGAATGTAAATCCCAACTGAAGAAATTGCGCGGATGAGCTCGCACTAAGTGTGTGGATTGACGAGGAGGTTGCAAAGGCCAAATGGATGAACAGCATGCTCACACACACATGGAATCTCACATGCGACCACACCGGAGTGCCAGCGGCTGTGTGGACAGCACGCTGGACACGTAATCCTGTGGCCCGGGTTCGATTCCGGCGCCGGCGAGGAAACAAAGTGGCCAAATTTTCTTTCATCCTGATGCCCCTGTTACCTAGCAGTAAATAGGTACCTGGGAGTTAGACAGCTGTCTAACTCCCAGGTGGCTGCTAGGTGGCTGCTTCCTGGGGTGTGTGTATGTGCGTGGGGGAGGGGAGGATAGTAACAGTTGATTAACATTTGAGAGGTGGACTGAAAGAGCAGAGCTCAACCACAACAAGCACAACTAGGTAAATACACATGGACACACGCACACGCATGCATGCATGCATGCATGCATGCATGCACGCACATCAGAGGCTCTGATCTTCCAGAGGGGTATAGACTCATTCCTCTCAATATTTACTGATGATGCCAAAATTATGAGAGGAATTAAGACAGAGGAGGACTTCTTGAGGCTTCGAGAAGACCTGGACATACTCAAGGAATGGTCCAACAAATGGTTGAGAGTTTAACCCAAGCAAATGTAATGAAGATAGGTGTAGGGAGCAGGAGGCCAGATACAAGGAAAGAGAAAGACCTGGGGGTCGATATCATGCCAGATCTGTCACCCAAAGCCCGCATCAAGAGAAAAACCTCAGCGGCATATGACAGGTTAGCCAACATAAGAACGGCCTTTAGAAACTTGTGCAAGGAATCATTCAGAACCTTATATACCACGTATGTTAGACCAATCCCGGAGTATGCAGCTCCAGCATGGAGTCCATATCCCGTCATGCATAAAACAAATTTGGAGAAGGCTCAGAGGTTTGCCACCAGACTAGTGACCGAACTGAGGGGTATGAGCTATGAGACACTACAGGAATTAAACCACACGTCGCTAGAAGATAGGAGTGTTAGGGGAGGGGGACATGATCACCACACACAAGATTCTCAAGGGAATTGATAGGGTAGACAAAAAAAGTTTATTTAACACAAGGGGCACATACACTAGGGGACACCGGTGGAAATTTATTACCCAAATGAGCCATAAAGACATTAGAAAGAATTTTTGTATCAAGAGTAGTTAATAAATGGAATGCATTAGGAAGTGATGAGGTGGAGGCTGACTCTATACACAGATTTAAGTGTAGATATGATAAAACCCAATAGGCTCAGGAACCTGTACACCTGTTGACTGATGGTCAAGAGGCGGGGACCAGAGAGCCAAAGTGCAACTCCCGCAAGCACAACTATGCGAGTACACACACACTCACGCACACACTAGTTTTTCGACAGTCTAGAAGCGAGACCAAAGAGCCAGAGCTCAACCCCCGCAAGCACAACTAGACGAGCACAACTAGGCGAGTACACACACACACGCACACCATGTTTTTCCGATTTCATTGTACATTTGGAGAGAAACCAGAAAGAGAACAGCAGAGCAGAAACCTTAGAGAAAGAAACCATGACTTACAATTATCATCTTACAAGGCGCAAAAATACAAGAGAATCTGTAAACAAAACCTCACAAACACATTACAACTCTCGTGAGAAAATCGACTTAACGTAGCATCACTGAACATAAATGTAAGGGACATCAGACTTACTTAGGGAAAAGTGCTTTGAAGTCACTGCCAAAGCTGATCACATTGAATAGGCAACCCATGGGCAAGCTCTTCAGGAACAGCAGCAACGTTGCCCGAGCGCTCTGAATTTTATCCCCTTGCATGCTTCCTGAAATATCATATTCTGTTAATACACTAAAAACGGTATAGCACTAAGATTGATTCAAAGCAGAATACACGAGGCTTTAAGCATTTTAATTGTAACCAATCAAGATAGATAGCCCCCAGGGGGGGGGGGCCAAGATTCATGAAGCAGTTACGCAAGCACTTACGAACCTGTACATCTTTTCTCAATCCTTGTTGGCTATGTTTACAATTATTAAACAGTTAATGAGCTCCGAAGCACCAGGAGGCTCTTTATAACAATAACAACAGCTAACTGGCAAGTTTCCATGCTTGTAAACTGTGTAATAAATGTAACCAAAGCCGTCAAAGATTGAGGAAAGATGTACACGTTCGTAAGTGCTTGCGTCAACATACTTCCACCCCCCCATGTGAATGATCAATACTGTGCTATCATCTCCCCTGTGAAAACCAGTCCTTTCACCTCAAGTGAATAACCAAATCATTATATCTCACCTGTAAGAATAAAAATAAAAGACCTCGATCAGGCGAGACCTCGATCAGGCAAGACCTCGATCAGGCAAGACCTCGATCAGGCAAGACCTCTTGGCACCTACAACGTGGCTCCTATTTACCCCTTACACCTTTTCCCAATCCTTATTTGCAATTTACTCTCGTGCACAAATTGTCATGCGAGATAGATCCACAAGGGTTTTTATATTTCCATGCATATATGGATATAAGACAAATCAATTTGTTCTCTCAATTTGTTCTCTCAATTTCCTCTTCATAACCAAAAAAGAGGCACTGGTTTAGACTAACCAAAGATGTCACATTTTATAATGTTACGATTGAACCCATTTTTTGTCCCTCTTTTTTTTAATAATGCCTAACAAGCCTCCTGTCATCTGACAATAGGAAACCAAATGAACTTAATTTCGAAATTCAAAATAGAATATAGTACAGTATTAATCTTTTACCATAGTGCAATGGTGCATGCAAAAATAATTGCCAAGTAGAATTGCAATTAAACTGGAGGTTTTTAAAAACTTTTTACTGTATATGAATTATTACCTGAACGATCAATTAAAAAGATGACCTCATTTTTGCTGGAGTAACTGTTGGCCGGGACTTCCGGGAACAGGTTAATCATGACGAGGTCGTCCTTCATGAGTCCGGTGGCCGAGCGGTCGCCAGTCTCCCGTATGACGCGAGTCTTGTACGGGTTGGCGTAGTAGAGCAAGAGACTCCAGTCGTGGTCACTCTTGAACCCTCCATCTTGTGTAACCTGTTCGGTCATTTTAGGCGAGTATAGTAAACCTTAAAAACACTCCAAAAAGAAAACAAAAGTGGGGAACAGTACCTGTACATAGTTTCCTATAGCAGGTAAACAAGATGGTTCGAGATGACTGTATGGGGGGAAGAACAGGTGTAAGCAGGTAAAGAAGATGGTTCACGATTTGATCACTCATCCTGATCAAGAGGCGAGACCTCGACCAGCTGAGACCTCGACCAGCCGAGACCTCGACCAGCCGAGATCTCGACCAGCCGAGACCTCGACCAGCCGAGACCTCGCCACATCATAATGATACTAGAAAATAAAAATCTATGCTAAATGGATCCCCACTGAGGATGCCTTCGATAGTTTGTAGGCAAGTAATACAGAGCAGAAAAATGGCTAAAATTATGTTATACATATACCAGATATTTAATAGAGAATGCTGACAATGCTGTATTAAAAACCACTAATGGATACAAAATAATTAGTGATGCTGGTCTTGATACATAAATCATCATACAAGTTACAACCAATCCGCAAGTGTCCTCCCCGGTTTCCCTCCACCAGTGATTGGGGACCAGGTTGTAAACCAACTTTCAGGTCTTGTTCCAGGGAGAGCTAATAGGGTTCAGAGGAGTCATGGGTTAGGAAAGCTTTAGGACCTGCTAACAAGAGTCAGCAGTTACCCCCCCCCCCCCCTGTATATCTGTATTGATTGAACAGATAAATTAACTGGTACCCAAAAAAAAACCTTATTTACACTTTGTATTAAAAAACTCCAAAATGCAAGTCAAAAAAGTAGAACAGTATACAGTTCTATATAGTCTGTATACAACTTAATTGAAACTGTACTAGGCCTAAATATGGAATCCAAGACCCAAAATATGCCCTCTTATTCCTAATTTAGTAAATATATGTAAAATATTAGGCCTAAGAAAGCCTTTGTTGCCTTCTTTCTGGCAACCACTACATAACAAATAGTACAAACATTAACCTTTTCAGGTGCAACAGTCCATTTATGTACATGCAATCAACAGTGGCTCTAAGCCCTATCATTACTGGACGACAGCTTACCTATTGGGCATAGGAAAAAAAAAACACTCACCTCGGCAGACTTTAAATCCTCGCCGATGGTAACGTTGAGAGAGTCGGTGTGCGATATGATTCGAGCTATTTCGTGACCACCCGAAACGCGTGCCTTGATGTCTATAGTGTAGGCCTTCGTCACCGTAACCACTTTTTCCTGCTCAAGTTCAGTGTTAAAACCTGCAAATATTTACACACAGAAATCACAATAGCGTGATGCATCAAATGAACAAATCCACAAGGGCCGTGATAAGGGTTTGAACCCTCATCACGGCCCTTGTGGATTTGTTCATCTGCAATTATTTACATTCAATTAATAAAAAAGTTAAATTAGGCAATTCATATGCAGTATCTGCCATGGTAAAAAATTTATCTGGCAATGCATATGGTTGGGACCTTGTGTTATTAACAGTAATTCCTTTCACCTGAATACTTGAGGCTTGTATCGAGGTCCCCGCCAAGGTCAGACTACCGACCCTCCCCAGGATACAAGCCCCATAGAAGTTGCCCAACTCCCAGGTACATATTTACTTCAAAGTTTAATAAAGGCATTAGGTGAAAGGAAATGTGACCAAGCATTTCTGTCTTACCCAAGAATCAAAACCGGGATTCCCCGACTGCAAGTCGAGAATGAAGCCATCTTTATTGCAAGTACTGCAGCTTTATCTAGTCAATTCTCAAACTATTTTAACCGCTGCATTCACCTCGTCGTATTCATTCACCTAGTTGTGCTTGCGGGGGTTGAGCTCTGCTCTTTCGACTTGCCTCAACTGTCAATCAACATTGTTTATTGACAATTTATTTAGTGTGGCTGTCCACCCAGACAAAGGCCCCTCCCGTGCTGCACAACCTGTGATATCTTACGGAAAAAGGGGTGCACCACTCTACATATCACGTTTGTTAGTTTATCTTAAGATTCAAACTGCCCGCAGGTACACGGGGCTCACATCCTGCACTTCAGGACTCCAGTAAACAGACGCCATCTTTAAAAAGAAATCGTCTGCATCCCTCCTGGCTGTGAGAGCCTCAGTACTGCCAGAGCAACCAAGGCTGCCGCGTGCAGCTGCAGCTCAAAGCACCGCTGCACAAGAAAAGTGCACAAGGCGTAATTGCGTAAAACCCCGATTCGGCTTCGGTGGAAGCCTCAGGAATCCTAGTGGGTGCAGTAGTACCCCCAGGTTGCAATTCTTTTGACCATGTTGTGGCATAGTCGTTTACAGCGTGCATCTGGGAATACCCAGCGCATTAGGTTCGAATCATCACGGTTCCTGTGGATTTTCTCACCGATATATCATGATAATGTGATATCTGTGTGTACAGCAGCACAAGTGTAGACGAGTGCATGATGGCACGTATATCAGTGTGGAACCTCCAGAATGCACAGCGATTGAGTGCATCAGTCTAGAACCTTTAATTAGAGGGCTTAGGTCTGCCATATTGGTTAGCTCCAAATAGCAAACATCATCAGCAGACAAAAGGTATTGCAAGGCCTAGCCCTCGATTAGAGGGCGTTGAACATACGTCCATCGCACGTCATATGCCTCGAGGGGCTCCAACATTCTGAAGGCGTCAGAACTTTTGACTGTGGTCAAGCCCATCTCAAATTCCCCAACAAACCTTGGTCATGCTGAACACGTTAACATGTGTAGTGAACAACTCTAAAAAGATAAATCAGGTAAACTCGGGTAAATTAGATACAGTACTTACCACGAGGAGCAGTCGGACCGCCTGCTGGACTATATCGGGGGTTCAGTACTGTTGGCAAGACAAAGCTCACGCCACCGTCTGTCTGTACTTTCAGCTCCATCACCAGGCTGATGCTCAGCGTGGCTTTTGAGCCTGAAATACAGTGTGTACAATTTATTCTTCAAATACAGCATTGTATGCAAAACTATGATTTCTTTTTTTCTTATAAACTCCGATCTTAAAGCAATAGAGAGGAAATTAACAGGTTTTCTATAAAATTACCTGTATAAACAGAACCACGTATGGTTCAAAGACTTGCATTTTAAGTCCTAACAAGGTTGCACATTACAGCCTAACTTTACCTGGAATTAACCATTGGACAGCGCCTATGGAATGGAATTATCAGTGGAAATCGCCAAGCTATTACGACTATGTAGCATTTGAAAAGGGTCAGGATAAGGATTTGGGATGGGAAGGGGTAGGGAAGGAATGGTGCCCCAACCACTTGGACGGTCTGGGCTTGAACGCCGACCTGCATAACATAAATGGAGAAATGGAGAATTTCTTCCCCCCCTATGGAGAAATGATCATACCTGCCTATGCACAAAAAAATAATTACAAAGAAAACTTGCATTATAGAATTATTAATTTGTATGCAAAATTTAAGAAAAGCAATTATGTGAATATTTATCGTTTCACCGGGTGGAGGCGCTCAGTAAGACTGAGTCTGGCACTTGTCCACGCCTGGGACTGTGCTCAACTTTGTTGACGCTTCCTGTTTTATCCTCCGATGTCTTTGCTTACATCCACAGAACTATACCTGTATCTCCATACAGTATTTGCATCATAAATGTAAAACCCTGACAATAACCGTTTATACTGGCTTTCGATAACCGCAGATCCCTAGGGGACTGTGATTATCAACTAAAAACAATAATCATGAAGGATTAAATTGTACTAAAGAATTAAATTTTACAGAGGCGGGACATATTTTGTGAATAAATTACTATTATAGATAACATACCTTCTGGGAGGTTGCCAAGGTCCAATTGCAACATATCTGATGAGCGTTCATCCTGTCTAGTAAGGATGGCCGTCTTTCCAGCATCGACGGCCTCTTTATACACTTTCTCAGCCTGCCCAGTACCACAGTCAATTTGTTAGTAGTTCACCAGTGAATTAAACAAAGATTACTCATAAAACAGTTAATTAAACAAAGAAAATTAATCATAGAACAATGTTAAAGCCATTTTATGTTAAATAAGTAACTAGTGCAGATATTCAAAAGCATCAGGAATAACTGAAGGGGGTGCGGGGGGGAGGGCGACAACTGCCAAGCCGCCAGCTTTCTGTCCCTGTCGAAACCACAATAGAGATGGTGGCATTCAAGCAACTATTTTTATAAAACGTGTCATACAGGTGGTGATGATCAGTTCACTTACACATTGAAAGTACAAGAATGTGATTAATCTATGAATTAATATTGAAGCCGTTAGTCCACGAGACAAGCCGCTGGCTTCCTGTCCTCGCCGAGGCCACTAGTGTTAGTGGCCCTCGGGTAAATTCAGGTAAATGAGCCCAGAGACATTCAGGAATGTGGATTCGATTCCAGTGCACGACTTCAATATTTGTTTGCAAGGTAATTATGAGGAGAAACCACTACATTATGGCTATATAGCACTTTGAAGGGATACAAGGACAAGGAGCTGGAATGTGATGGAGGGAAGGAACAGTGCCCAACCACTTTAAACTATTTGGAATCAAACGCCAACCTACAAGAAACGAGGCACACGCTGTATCGACCAGTTCAGGAACTAAACTGACTTGGTTAACTTTGAATGGCATGTATACAAGTATACAACGGCATGAATACAAGCCAGTGGCCCCCCTCCACATTCTTGGTCCAGACCGGATATGAATTTACAAATAATCCAGATTTCCAAATAGTGTGCCATTTTTAGCTAGTTATCATTACGTTATAGTCTACTTAAAGTACAATTACACAAATATGTAAACAATGAATTTGTATATAAATAAATATACTGTACTACATATTTACGCCCAATCAAATTAAAGCACATTTTAGAAAGTAAATTTAAAAGCATGAAAATTGGTATAATCATTACTTGTTTAAGAACAAATATCCATCAATTTTTTGCCGAGCATTAACCACCATCTTTGAAAAGGCAGCTAAATGTCATTTTTGTTTACAAATAGCATGAAAACAGTTAGCTTAAAATAAGCTTGCAGTAAATACGGTATATACGAACAGTGTAATTCACATACCTTTTTCTTTTCCATGCAGTGAGCCAAAATTTTACGTCCATCCAAATGGGCTTCAAATTTATACACAGCAGCACTCTCGTCCACCGGCAGCGTGTACCGAACCTGTGTAGTGCCATACAATTGATGTAAAATGCGTCCAAAATGCTGTACAGTATACATCTCGATACCCCCGTTGCATGGAAAGAGCAGAAATATTCTGAAAGGTCCACAGTTGTTCAACGTCCTACCAGCGAGCATCAGAAATATTACAGGAACAACCGTGGACATCTTCAAGAGGAAACTTAGATCGTTTCCTACAAGGAGTGCCGGACCAACCGGGCTGTGGTGGGTATGTGGGCCTGCGGGCCGCTCCAAGCAACAGCCTGGTGGACCAAACTCTCAAGTCAAGCCTGGCCTCGGGCTGGGCTTGGGGAGTAGAAGAACTCCCAGAACCCCATCAACCAGGTATCAACCAGGTCTCCTTATGCAGTGTCTCCAAAAGGATGCCTTCGAACCAAAGTACATCTTATGGACTCTCTCCATGAACAAACACAGATGCCTTTATAATTTGCACAGTTCATGTGTGCATCGACATTCCGGCTTTCTTCTGTCGATTTCGTAATTTTATCCCAAAGTCAAATGCGGGATCTTTCTGCTCTAAATCCATGTCAACGTGGGTTGTGTAATTTGTTTCTCCACAAACTGAAGATTTGACTATCTCAAGACAAATGTCACGCATTATTTCTGTGACCATCAATAGCTTCATGCCATTATTTTCCTACCTTCCCTGCAATTTAGGCTATATCTGCTACGAGCATTTGGTGGAGAACTTTATTACCTACACCAGTATGTGTGCAGATAACATGTAAATATTGCGTTCAGCATCAGCTCGAAGCCTCCAAACTCCCTCAAAGTTCAGGTGGACTTCGGAATGGGTTACTTGTAGCACATGGTCCAAAGGATAATGTGTGCATCCGAGGTGACTTAGGGGGGCAAGGATTTGATTCAACCACCCTGCTCTAAAGAGTCTTTTTAAGTGTACAGTAGTTACAGGATGAGAGTTACACTTGTAGTGCCCCATTTTCTCTATAATGAATGTCATACGACGCTTTGAAACTGGACTTGTGATCCTGTGGTCCCGGGTTTGATCCCGGGCGCCGGCGAGAAACAATGGGCAGAGTTTCTTTCACCCTGATGCCCCTGTTACGTAGCAGTAAAATAGGTACCTGGGTGTTAGTCAGCTGTCACGGGCTGCTTCCTGGGGGTGCAGGCCTGGTCGAGGACTGGGCCGCGGGGACACTAAAGCCCCGAAATCATCTCGAGATAACCTCAAGATAACCACCTCACTTATTTTGTTACAGCCATCTACAACTGTTCGTAAAAAGAGAACTTTCACATGTTTTCGACCCCACTGATCCCTTACCTTTAAATTGAAACTACTGTATATACTCGTGCTGTTCTTACCAAGTTCTTAAGGTTATGTGTGCACATAAGGAGGAGGGGATGGGTGGGGTGGTATGGAGTAGGGGGGGGGCAGGAGGGCATACTAAACAATACATAATTAACTACGCTGTGGCAGATCATATACAAATCATTTTGTTCCGTTATGGCAGCCGAAGCCATCTTTTACAGCGTGTGTACAGAGCACTGTAATGTATAAATAAATGAAAATATATATTTTTTATAACACCACAAATAAATTGACAAGAAATATCACCAACAGCAAATGGTCAAAACCACAAATATGCTGTAGTGCATTTGGGAGCGGCGGAACGAGCCGCTCGGAAAATTATCTGCACATTGTAAACCTTCACTTTAATATATCAACACAATGACGAGCCCTTTACCTGCAGAGGACTGGAGCTCGAGTTATGGTACAGCAACTTAGCGTTCACTTGTGCTACAAATCCCCGTATGTTCACCACAGTCGACACGGACTCCAACTCCACTATTTCAATCTTGCCTGTTGAAAATTGAAATCAATTAATCACTGCACTGCGCAAAGCGCCTTTAGGCGCTCTGAGATTTGTGCTTTTTGTTTTTAATTAGGCTTAGGCTATATTTTAATATTTTTAAATGTTTTCATTACTCTTTGTGTTTTGAAATGGAAATAGTTGACTTTGGGAACATTTTGACATTAACTTTACCAGAACAATTATAAAAATAAAAAAAATATATCCTTGAGAATTGCACCAAGACATTTTTGCCGAAAATGGGCGAGCAGTGCAGGGGTTAAGAATGAAAAAAAAAAAAAAAATTACATATTACAGTAACAACTTTATTTAATATACAATCTGCACCTACAATCCATAACAGGAGGATTTTTTTGACAAACTGCTAGCTTCCCGTCCCTATCGAGGCCACTGGAGAAAGTGGTCTTCTCGTAACTATGATCTTATTTATATTTTAGGAATAAAATAATTATTTTGGTTAACAATTCAAAATTAAAGTATAATTATCAATTCAGAATCTAATCCAATTCAGTTTCATCATTAACTTTTTTTTTTTTAACCCAGGAGTACAATGAGGTGCACAATGACCTGACATGAGCTGGGATAGTGGGATAATCTCTCACTGTCCCGAAACGCTGTGCGAAATTTGCCCAAAACGCTGTGCGTATTACTGGCTATAGGTTTATGTATGTACTAGCTCTATCTATAAATCCAACATTATGTTTGTAACTCATCTTCTATATATGTACATTTATCCGAATAAACATTGATCTTTTTTATTCGGCCTGGGTAATAGTAAACATTTAACCCCCCATTGAATTGGGCTAACACAAACTTACCAAACCTCAGCCTGAAAAAGCCAGTCCGAAGTCCGAAACCTAACGAAATCAAACTTTTAGCCAAACAAACCTTGCTCGTCTCAACAAATTAAACTCAAAATTAAAATGCAAGTACAGTATATGTATTGCCAGCCTATCCAAGTTATATAAGATACATAATTCCCATTACTGGGGACAGGGAGCCTGTATTCTGGCTTATCTTGAGGTTATCTTATCACGAGATGATTTTGGGGCTTAGCGTACCCGTGGCCCGGTCCTCAATCAGGCCTCCTTTTTGTTACACACCTCCAGGAAGCAGCCCGTAGCAGCTGTTAAAACTCCTAGGTATCCATTTACTGCTAGGTGAACAGGAGCATCGGGATGAAAGAAACTCTGCCCATTTGTTTCCACCTCCACCGGGGATTGAACCCGGAACCTTAGGATTACAAATCCCGAGCGCTGTCCACTCAGCCGTCAGGACTCCATGTTGGCGTGTGTTGAGGTCACCCTCAGGGTGAGCCGACTTCTCACGATGCAGCCCATAACAGCTACCTATCCCTGTCGGCCGAGCGGACAGCATGCTGGACTTGTGATCCTGTGGTCCCGGGTTCGATCCCGGGCGCTGGCGAGAAACAATGGGCAGAGTTTCTTTCACCCTATGCCCCCCTGTTACCTAGCAGTAAAATAGGTACCTGGGTGTTAATCAGCTGTCACAAGCTGCTTCCTGGGGGTGGAGGCCTGGTCGAGGACCGGGCCGCGGGGACACTAAAGCCCCGAAATCATCTCAAGATAAGAAGAAGATCCCCGAACCCATTGTTGATGTGACCACTTACACTGAATTTTGTAACTAGCTCATCAAGATTGTAACTTGCTTAGCTAAATGAATTGTGGGGTTCAGTCCCTGAGCCCATTATGTGCCTCTGTAACCCTTTCCACTACTGCCCACATGATGGGTATGGGGTGCATAATAACTAAACTAACTATCCCCCAAACAACAGGAATTCTAAAAATTCTAAATCAAATGTACATTAGAGTCAAGTAGGCAGTTTGAACTTACCTGCGGTACAATATCCCCACAAGCCCCCAATGGGCATGGGTTGGTAGGTGCCCGGGAACATAAAATTCATCCTTGCGGTGCCTGAAATTATACTCAAGATGTACATTTACGTATGGAATATTATTAACCGGTTGGATACTCTTTTGAAGGCTGTGAAAGTGATAGATTGAATGCTAAACGCGTTTTCGGCTCAATTCGGCTTCATCGGCGCACTTTATCAGTTCTAAAATGCTCTGATGAAGGCGAATCGAGCCAGAAACGCGTTTAGCATTCTCGATTTTTCACACGTGGTTTTTCCGCATACTTGCATCAGTGTTTTTGTAATTATTGTTGCATAAATAGTACACGAGTGTGTGAGCGCATGTGAGTGTTTAGCATGTTTTTGCCCAAAACGTTACGCGTCCTAGTGACTTTACAAGAATGTCAATTCAACTTAATTTCTATATTCTCTGTTAACCCCCCAATGTACCCTCATGTATATAAATAAATAAATAAATGTTAAGGGACTTAAACAGAGGGACTGTGTATTGTCTCAAGAGTTCGTTATAGTTCCGATAGCAGATTTTTGCCGAGTGATGACGGGCTCGAGGTAATTTGCAGTAGTCGAGCCCCAAGCACAGACACCATATGTAAAATAGGAATAGATTAGTGCGTAGTGTAATGAGAGGAGAGCAGAATGGGGAACATAATATAATATACAGATTTTAGACACCGACGGTTTTTGAGACTTTTTTAGAAATGCCGAAACATTGCTATTCAAAATCTAGCTAGATTAAATCCTCAGGAAAATGAGAAATGGTAGCTTTTGACAAACCGCCAACTTCCTGTCCCCCATTGAAGCTACCCAGATAGGTAGTAATGACCCTCGGGTACATTCAAGTACAATATAGTAAATTAAAGTATCATACGGGCAAATTGGTGGGGACATTTGACAAGCCGCCGGCTTCCTATCCTCATCGCGGCCACAAGATCAATGACCCTCAGGTAAATTCAGGTAAAATAATATCACAATAGCGAAACTGGTGCGACTTGTCCAGACTAAATCACATCCCGCCTCCAGCACCTTCCCACCCCATGACACGCCTGCCCACCTCACCTCCCCTAGTCCCAGACACCTGTAGAGGCCGTCCCCGGGGCCACGGCACCTCATACTTACTCCTGGAGGCGACGAGGAGGAATATTAGCGAGAGGTGGTGGACGTCTTGGACAGGAGGCTGACAGGTACTTCTGTGCGTGTTTGGCCGCGTTCACATGAGACGTCGCCTCGCCCCGCCCCCTTTTTTCAGGCATTGCTGTTATAAATATTTTTCTTGTTTTTTTTTACTTTATTACATCTAATATTAATTACAATTTGTATTTATATATTGTATATTTGAAATATGGTGAGTATGGGAGGTTTAGAAATACAGGCTGCCTGTCCCCCCCCCTGCCTGTGAATAGGAATTATTATATAAACCCCGTATATAAACCATGCGCTAAATCAATTATTTATTTATTTATTTACAAAAAGGTACAATGGGGTTGTGAAATTACATAAGATTTGTAGTTTTACATTCTTGCAAAGTTACTTACTCGCATAGCGTTTCGGGCAGGTCCTTATAATCTAACATTATCAGCTAAAAGGAAAAGGCACATTGTAGGCAGAATTTATTTGTATTTATCAACATATAACTATAATATAAAGTGACAGAGGTGATTACACTGGTGAAGATATATGTCTTAAGTACTAATATATGGTATCTTAAGTACAAGATACAGTGTGAGTTTGAAACACGAGGTATAGGAAACTATGAAGATAAAATTAGGTGCTTTTAATTACATATTTTTGTTATGTAGGTCATTTTATTATATACTTATTAACAAATGGTCCTATTAGCAATTACTTATAAAGACAAATAATGAGACACCTCATTAGCAATTACTTATAAAGACAAATAATTTACAATGTGTCATAGAGCAATGATTTTAGATTGAACCGTACGATCCCAAAAGGCCCTATAATTGCAAAAAAAAGATATATTCTTTTATTCTGAAAACCTGTTCAAACTATTGGACTATACCTATAGCCGGGCAGCATTTAAAATCACTTAATGTGATTTGATTTGAAAAAAAAAGTAGATTTAGAGTCCAAATATCTCCAGACCCGAAGTAAGACTCTACCGCTGAACGCGTCCTCCCGCCCCCCCCCCCCCCCCCCCCCCCACTGGGTGTTGCATCATTAAATGCAACTAATTGCGCCATTAATTGCAACTGTGTGTAATGAAGAAACACAGTAAACTCCATGTTATATATATAGATAGGATTGCAGCACATTACTGTGTGTGTGTGTAATTCTAATCTTGTTAATGAAAATACATGAGACATACTTATCAGAAATTCCAAAGCAAGTGAATTTCTAGGGAAACTGTATCTCTCATAGTTAAGTTTAATCTGATTAATTAAGATAGTGAATCTGACTAACAAAAGCACCATATGATTCCAGTCATTATTTCCTTGGGAAGTTCTCCCCCAAGAAATCAATGGAATCACGGAATATAGCAACCCGTTCTCGCAAATTTAATAAGTCAATATTGACTTATTAGTTGCGTGCATAGGTGACATACTAAACATAATAGTTTCCCTTGAAAAGCTTCATAGAAAACACCGACCTTACCTAACCTACTTAGTATGTTAAAATAAGCATCTTATAGCTTCGTAATTACAATTGTTACTTAACCTATTATAGGTATAGGTTAGGTAATAATTGTAATTACGAAGCAATAAGATGCTTATCTTAACATACTAAGTAGGTTAGGTAAGGTCGGTGTTTTCTATGAAGCTTTTCAAGGGAAACTATTATGTTAAGTATGTCACCTATGCACATATTTAATAAGTCAATATTGACTTATTAAATTTGCGAGAACGGGTATCAACTGTATTGTGAAATTTAATCGGGATCAAAGCAACATATATATAATTTATACCTGAATTTACCTGAGGGCTACTAATACTAGTGGCCTCGACGAGGACAGGAAACCGGCGGCTTGTCCAAGGCCTACCCCCCATTTGCCCTGACGATCTAAAATAAAATAAAAATAAAAATTAGGTACAAAAATTGAGTAAGCATGAAGTCCTAGAATTCGTGTGAAATTAGATAGTTGTTTCCGTATATCTGTCCTTATCAGGGCTGTTGTGTCTGGGAAAACCCATTCTGTTTATGCTAGATTAGTGAAGTTCATTTATTATACACCCCCATACTCATCCTGTGGACGGTAGTGGAATGGGTTACAGAGATACATAATGTATAATATACGTATCCGAATACATGATAAAGCTGATAAGTTAACCAAAGAATCTGCCTTTAAAGCAGCCGTTGGGTGTAATCTTGGATTGTCAATGAGCAATCTCAGAGCAGCAGTACACCGAGAACTTCAGCGAGATCGTGTAGATCTGAGGCAAAGTGAAATTGTCATATACATAGTAATGATGATTTTACATTCCTGTAAAGCCACATATACCATATACCCATCTTGTGGGCGGTAGTGGAATGGGTTACAGGGGCACATAATGGGCTCAGGGACTGAACTCCACAATTCATTGAGCTAAGCAAGTTACAGTATTGATAAATTAGTTTCAAATTGTAATGAATATTGGTTTGGCGTTGGAAGGGGGGCTATTAACCCCTTAATAGGCTGCATGGGTTATTAAGGGGTTATTAACCCTTCCTCTGGAGGGTTATTAAAGCCAATACAATAGCCTATAATCCAGAGATAAAGTAAACTGTTTACACCGAGAAGCGCAGAATACCTGATTTACCTGAGGGCCACTAACCCTATAGTGGCCTCGACGAGGACAGGAAGCCGGCGGCTTGTGGAAGTTCCCCCCCCCCCCCACATGCATGCATGAATAACTTGATTTTTTTCTATGTAAACCTCTATATTCCGCGGAATATTAACAACAGAATAAAGGAAATTTATTTAAAAATATATATATATATATAATTACTGAACACTTAAATCACCACCGCTGTAAAGAAGCAGTTAGTCCACAGCCCGTAAAAAATATATCTAACAGGACGTTCATATACCGCATTAACTGTAACTTTGTGACGAGTCATATATATATATATACGTGTCAGTAACAAAAATAAAAATGAATTAACTAACGCGAGGGACGGAGTAACGGTGTGTGGTATTTCCACTTTTTTAACAATGTTAAAATATTTTGTTGTATCACAGTCGCTTCACAACGCGCTGGACACTGGTTCGATTCCCGGCTCTGAGGCCAGATTCACGAAAGCACTTACGAACCTGTCCATCTTTTCTCAATTTTTGGCGGCTTTGTTTCCAATTCTTAAACAGTTAATGATCTCCGAAGCACCAGGAGGCTGTTTATAACAATAACAACAGTTGAATGGGAAATTCTCATGCTTGTAAACTGTTTAATAAATGTAACCAAAGCCGCCAAAGATTGAGGAAAGATGTACACGTTCGTAAGTGCTTTCGTGAATCCGGCCCCAGGAGAGACCTAGATTATTCTAATAGGCTTCCTGATCCCGACTATGAAAACCCCAAAATTGTTGATGTTAGGAGTTGTGTCAATAAATAATAATAATTTGTATTTATATTAAATATGTTTCAAATATGATACACTGGAATATTCGTAGTATACAATGGAATTTCCATAAATCCACTAATACTTTCATATTCATAAATTAAATTCATATTCAGCCATGAAAGTTGCACAGCAGGTAGGAGCAGCAGTCCCCAAAAAGCTATCCATGCAAACGCTTGATCAAGCGTACCTTTGACTCTAAGGAAAAATAAGATAGTGATTCCCAATTTGGATAACTGTTCCCAAGCATGGAGACCTCGGGCCAGATTCACGAAACAGTTACGCAAGTACTTACGAACGTGTACATCTTTTCTCATTTTTTGGCGGCTTTGTTTACAATTATTAAACAGTAAATGAGCTCCGAAGTACCAGGAGGCTGTTTATAACAATAACAACAGATGATTGGGAAGTTTTCATGCTTGTAAACTGTTTAATAAATGTAAACAAAGCCGCCAAAGATTGAGAAAAGATGTACACGTTCGTAAGTACTTGCGTAATCCCTTCGTGAATCTGGACCCTCATCTTCAGATGGACGTAGCTGCTCTTTAGAAAGAACAGCACCGAGCAATAAAAATCATTCCAGAGCTAAGTCAACTCACGCACCAATTGAGGGCCACAGGGCTAACAACACTACAAACCAGGCATGACAGAGCGGATCACATTAAAACTTTTAAAATACTGAACAATTTGGAGGATGTTAGGCCAGGAAAATTTCTTCAGAAGGTTAGATTTAACACAAACAAGGAACAGCGGGTTCAAGCTCAACAAACCACAATGTAGGAATGAGAACAAGAAATTTGTTCACCTATATGGTTATAAACCCATGGAACCGCCTACCCGCCGAAGCCGTAAATGCCAAAACTCTGTTAACATTTAAAAGACAGCTGGACAAAATCCTCAAGGGAAATGGGGGGACCTTCGACAAGCCGCCGGCTTCCTGTCCTCAACGAGGCCACTAGTGTTAGTGGCTCTCAGGTAAACTCGGGTAATATATTTAACATCAGCAATAAAAATGATGGAAAGTTCCTTGGCCTAGAAAAGAGACTCAACTTCAGCACCCACATACAACACATTACCAAAAATGTATCAAAAACAGTTGGTATACTTTCTAAAATCAGATATTATGTTCCCCATTCTGCTCTCCTCCCATTATACTACACGCTAATCTATCCCCCTATCTTTCATACTTTACCCTATCTTATCATTTTTATAAATTTTGCAAGTATTTACCTACTTAAAATTGTCTTAGATTAAGGACCTGCCCGAAACGCTGTGCGTACTAGTGGCTTTACAAGAATGTAATTACTATGCTATGTATCATCACAATCCCAATGTATCTTCTTGTATATATATATATATATATATATATATATATATATATATATATATATATATATATATATATATATATATATATATATATATATATATATGCGAACAAGCCTGAATGGTCCCCAGGACTATATGCGAATGAAAACTCACACCCCAGAAGTGACTCGAACCCATACTCCCAGAAGCGACGCAACTGGTAACTACAGGGCGCCTTAATCCGCTTGACCATCACGGCCGTCAAAAGGAAGTGATAGCCGAGGCTATTTGAGCCACTTCCCCGACGGCAACTCGGATGGTAATCTTGGGCATAGCATTGCGGGGAAGTGGCTCAAATAGCCTCGGCTATCACTTCCTTTTGACGGCCGTGATGGTCAAGCGGATTAAGGCGCCCTGTAGTTACCAGTTGCGTTGCTTCTGGGAGTATGGGTTCGAGTCACTTCTGGGGTGTGAGTTTTCATTCATATATATATATATATATATATATATATATATATATATATATATATATATATATATATATATATATATATATATATAAGCCTATACTTGCATAAACCACAAGTGAAGATTAACAATCTTTGGACAACACCCACCAGTGGGACTCGAACCCAGAAAGCACAACTACCTTCCAGTAGCTGCCATAACTAGTACGCTTTAACCCACTACACCATCAGACCCTACAAAAGAAGTAGAGACTTCGAGATATATATACATCTCAAATATCTCCACTTCCCGAGGGCACCAGATGAGTGTGAGGTTAGTCTGCGTTTTTTGTCAAGCCACTGTCAATGTGAGAGAACTCGTGTCCAGCTTATAAGTTATATATATATATATATATAAGTTATATATATATATATATATATATATATATATATATATATATATATATATATATATATATATATATATATATATATATATATATATATATATATATATATATATATATATATATATATATATATATATAATACGGTATCTGTGCATGGGGTTCTACCAGTAGGAACTACCTCAAGCCTATCATCGCCCAGCAAAAATCTGTCATCAGAACAATAACAAACTGGTTCTAGACAACACAAAGCCCGCCCTGTTTAAATCCCTAAACATGCTAAACATAAACTCACTCCACACATTCTTTTATGCCATTTACATGTACAAAATCTTGTCTATAGATGCAAACTCTATCATGAAACTCTTCCTGGACAGATGTAATAGAACCCAAAATCACCACACCAGAAACAAATATTTGATATCCCCAGAGTCAAACTAAGTCTGTGTAAACACTCTATGTAAATAAATGGACCTGGTCTATGGAACTTACTCCCTAACAAAATAAATAGCTGTCCAACCTATGCCTTATTCAAAAGAAACACCAAAAAGTATATTATTTTATCCTCATAGTTTTCTACTTAGTTCTTCAAACTCGCAATATATCTTGTGATACCCAATCCGACAATATATGTGCCTAAGCCATACAATTTCACCATTGTAAATCATTGCTATCATCTTATATCATGTTTGTTCTGTTGAAAGCAAGTTTGACTACAATGTACCTAGAAATAATCCTCAAATTATGCTACAATGTACCTGTCGATAATCCTCAAATTATGCTACAATGTGCCTGTCGATAATCCTCAAATTATGCTACAATGTGCCTGTCGATAATCCTCAAATTATGCTACAATGTGCCTGTCGATAATCCTCAAATTATGCTACAATGTGCCTGTCGATAATCCTCAAATTATGCTACAATGTGCCTGTCGATAATCCTCAAATTATGCTACAATGTGCCTGTCGATAATCCTCAAATTATGCTACAATGTGCCTGTCGATAATCCTCAAATTATGCTACAATGTGCCTGTCGATAATCCTCAAATTATGCTACAATGTGCCTGTCGATAATCCTCAAGTTATGCTACAATGTGCCTGTCGATAATCCTCAAATTATGCTACAATGTGCCTGTCGATAATCCTCAAATTATGCTACAATGTGCCTGTCGATAATCCTCAAATTATGCTACAATGTGCCTGTCGATAATCCTCAAATTATGCTACAATGTGCCTGTCGATAATCCTCAAATTACGCTACAATGTGCCTGTCGATAATCCTCAAATTATGCTACAATGTGCCTGTCGATAATCCTCAAATTTTACTCAAATGTACCTGCTAATTTTTCTCATATTTTTTTACAATGTACCTGTTAACTTTTTTCAATTTTGCTACAAATTACCTACTTAAAATTATCTGTTAGGCTATAAGGACCTGCCCGAAACGCTATGCGTGTTAGTGCCTTTACAAGAACGTAAAAACATCAATGCTATATACTCTCACAAACCCAATGGATCTTCTTGTATATAAATAAATAAATAAATATAGTATTAAAGAATATTAAGATTGTGTAATACGTCAACAGTATTGCTTTGTGTTGAAAAAAAAATTGACGCCAGTAGGTCAATTAATAGGTGTCTGTCAATTATAATTCCCGTTTCTGGGGACAGTAAGCCTGCACTTAGTCATGTATCGAGGTATGCCATATCTACTGACCTTCCCCAGGGCACAAGCACTTCCTGTTAGCTAGCTTCCCCTGGAATAAGACCGGCCAAGCGATTTACAACCAGCACCCCAATTCCTGCTGGGTCAAGAGTAGCGTACCATTAACTATAGGTACGCCATTAGACCATATGGAACTCACTCAAACCCCGACATAAATCGGTATTAATAGTAACATCACTAGTGGTCTATAATTAGAGGGTTTGAAGCCAAATTAGGAGCGTAGAACAGCCAATTTCTCCACACCACGTGAGGGAAGAAGCAAATTTCTATTTGAACCGCAGCTCAATAGAAGCACCGCTTTTCCGATTTCACTTTAGGAACACGAGAACTGACTTATATATATTATAAACATGTCTGTATGACATGTAGCGTAGCAAAATTCTTTTATTTCAAACTCTAAATACATAAGCAAGATGGCGTAAGTAAATATATGCAGTTCGGAGATGATTAATTGAATTAATTGTGAATTCGGAGCCAGAGTCACACCGGAACACAGTGTTAAGACTGGTTTATGGAACACATCGCGCGGGAAAGCACTCAGTAGTGTTGAAGACGCCGTCGGGGGAGGAGCTTCCAGTCTTCAACGTAGCACACGCATAAGTGGGTGACGGTAATATTCTTACAAGCGTTCGAATTATGTGCAGTCAGGGTTGATTTTAAGGCTCGGGGGAGGGTTAGTCTGGCTCATTTATTATGCACTCCAAATAACCATCTTGTGAGAAGGGGTGCAGTGGATTTTTTAATAATAATTTTAGCACCTTTCGGCCAAGAACCGTGTGTGTTACCTGTTCTGAACGGGAACTCTTAGAGTATAGATAAAGAGCTAACTACCTGTCTGTTCTAAACGAGGACTCTCAGTATAGATAAAAAACTAATTACCTGTCTGTTCATCTAATATCCCAATTTCGCCAGATGGTTAATCATACATGGAATCTCAAAAAAAAAAAGAAAACTATGAAACGAGGCAGTTCAGCCTTGTCTCATTTACCCCAGGACCAGTAATACTCTTAAGTAGCCTCGAAGATGACAGGAAGCTGGCGGCTTGTCAAAGTTTCCCTTTCAATTATTCAATTTCAAGATATCTTTCAAGATTTGAGCGCGCATGGCCGTAGTTACAAAAACTCTTAAGTATTTCCTTTCAAACAGCCCAAGGAATGGAATACCTCATATCATTTGGTTTAAAATCATTAATAACAGAGCAAATCACATATTAAATGTTGGAAAGTATATGTCCCAGTTCTTGTTCACACAGTTTATAAATGGAATGTTCACCATTAATCAAGGGGGTGAGTTTATGCCATAGGTATCGAAAAAATAGAGGATAGAAATAGCCTAAGCCACTCTATCCTTTTGAGATTTTTTTTATTGTCTCAATAAACATGAACTTGAAATTGCAAGAAGATCAAATTGTCTAGGCTATAATAGATGTAGTTCAATGCTTAAAGCTTAGCGTTTTCCCTGGAAACACAAACCGAAACTGTCTCTATTTTCCGCTTGTTACAACTTGTAATATAGTGGTTACATCTTGGCTTAACGTGTTTATGACGTATTAGAACGTTGTTACAACTTGCTATATTGGTTGTTATAACTGGTTAGGAGGTGTTAAAACTTGCTCGAACGTTGTACCAACGTCGTAGTTTCGGTGTGTGTTTGGGGGGTTAAGCTTGAAAATTGAAAAAAAAATATAATATACATCAATTTAATAATTTTGAGATTAACAATAGAGAATATAGAATATAATTGATATCATAATATAATTTAACAGAGAATATAATTTGTCATAGCCTAAGGTAAATAGCCTAGAATTAGTAGCCTAGAGATATGAAGTAAAGATTATACTAGGATTCATATCTAGAAGTGTTAGTAATATAATCTATTTTAATCCTCTAAAACTGCCCTTGCGAGTCCCCATTCAAATTCTGTGCCACAGATTTAGAGAATAGATACCAATTATCTATTACATTACAATATACATAAATTGAGAGTATCATAACCCTTTCTAATGAATTGTGAACCTTTCTAATAGAATTATGAACCTTTCTAATGAATTTAAAAGCAGTTATCAAATCAGAGTTCGATCAAAAGAGGTAGCCTAAAGAAAAAATAATTTTTTTTAAGATGAATTATAAATGAGTAAATGTGAATGTAGGTGGGTATGGGTGATATCAGGATGTAGCCCTGATGTGGATAGTGCCAGGGTGTGGCTCTCATGTGGATAGCGCCAGGGTGTGGCCCTCGTGGTGTCATAGCGTGTGATCCTGCGGTGGGAAACAGAAGGGTGTGGTCACAGCCACACACTAATCATATCCACAAGGCTCCGCCACACTCCACAGCCCAGCCTAAGCGCCTATCAACGTCAAAGTTCCGCAGTAAATGACATAAAAATGTATTTTTGTTCAGATATTCGTTTCGTCTACGTGAGAGGAGAATGTATAATGAGCCTTACCGCTTCGGAAAATATAGGAATATCACAAACTGCGGTAGGACTATTGGTCCATACGAGGCAGCTCTTATTGGTCCATACGAGGCAGCTCCTATTGGTCCATACGAGGCAGCTCCTATTGGTCCATACGAGGCAGCTCCTATTAGTCCATACGAGGCAGCTGCTATTGGTCCATACGAGGCAGCTGCTATTGGTCCATACGAGGCAGCTCCTATTGGTCCATACGAGGCAGCTGCTATTGGTCCATACGAGGCGGCTGCTATTGGTCCATACGAGGCAGCTGCTATTGGTCCATACGAGGCAGCTCCTATTGGTCCATACGAGGCAGCTCCTATTGGTCCATACGAGGCAGCTGCTATTGGTCCATACGAGGCAGCTCCTATTGGTCCATACGAGGCAGCTCCTATTGGTCCATACGAGGCGGCTGCTATTGGTCCATACGAGGCAGCTGCTATTGGTCCATACGAGGCGGCTGCTATTGGTCCATACGAGGCAGCTGCTATTGGTCCATACGAGGCAGCTGCTATTGGTCCATACGAGGCAGCTGCTATTGGTCCATACGAGGCAGCTGCTATTGGTCCATACGAGGCAGCTGCTATTGGTCCATACGAGGCAGCTGCTATTGGTCCATACGAGGCAGCTGCTATTGGTCCATACGAGGCAGCTGCTATTGGTCCATACGAGGCAGCTGCTATTGGTCCATACGAGGCAGCTGCTGTTGGTCCATACGAGGCAGCTGCTATTGGTCCATACGAGGCAGCTGCTATTGGTCCATACGAGGCAGCTGCTGTTGGTCCATACGAGGCAGCTGCTATTGGTCCATACGAGGCAGCTCCTATTGGTCCATACGAGGCAGCTCCTTTTGGTCCATACGAGGCAGCTCCTATTGGTCCATACGAGGCAGCTCCTATTGGTCCATACGAGGCAGCTGCTATTGGTCCATACGAGGCAGCTCCTATTGGTCCATACGAGGCAGCTGCTATTGGACCATACGAGGCAGCTCCTATTGGTCCATACGAGGCAGCTCATATTGGTCCATACGAGGCAGCGTTAAATATGTACATTTTCAGTTAGTCAAATTAATTTTACGACGTTTCTTTTTTATTGGAGAAAAGAAGCCTAAGATTATCGAAATCTACGTATTCCACAACCGGTCAATCGCTAGGCTGATGCCCACCATTGTTGACTGCGTCTTGGACGTACGTCGGAGACACTCGTCGTATGTGTGTGGCGTTTTTATGCGACGTAGGCACGCATTGTGGGCATGCGTCGAGTAGAGACGTCGTGGGCAAGCATCATAGATAAGTCATGTGCACGTGCGTCGTGAGCGTTCGTCGTAAGCACGCATACGCTCACCATGTCGTAGGCGCGCATACGCTCACCATGTCGTAGGCACGCATACGTCATGCATACGCTCACCATGTCGTAGGCACGCATACGTCATGCATACGCTCACCATGTCGTAGGCACGCATACGTCATGCATACGCTCACCATGTCGTAGGCACGCATACGTCATGCATACGCTCACCATGTCGTAGGCACGCATACGTCATGCATACGCTCACCATGTCGTAGGCACGCATACGCTCACCATGTCGTAGGCACGCATACGTCATGCATACGCTCACCATGTCGTAGGCACGCATACGCTCACCATGTCGTAGGCACGCATACGTCATGCATACGCTCACCATGTCGTAGGCACGCATACGTCATGCATACGCTCACCATGTCGTAGGCACGCATACGTCATGCATACGCTCACCATGTCGTAGGCACACATACGTCATGCATACGCTCACCATGTCGTAGGCACGCATACGTCGTGCAGGAGACGTGACACAGATGGTATCGACCCCCGGGGGCCATGTGTGTGGAGAAAGCCAGGTATACATGTTAAACAACCGTAACATCTGGCTTCCTTTCCCAGAGTTGCCGGCCGTAAAAAGATTGCTGAGAGGAACATCTTCGTGTTTTCTCTCCAGGAAGAGGATTATCAAGCTGAAATTATCTTCATATTACAACAGGGGAAAAGAGAATCCGTGTTGCATCAGAATGTGTGCAATTTCACAGTGTTGGATTCGACACTTAAATAGTTATTATCACGATAAGAGGAGGAGGTTAGCGGTTCAAGTATGCTTATTGAGATAAGCAAGAAATACATCTCAAAGGGATAGAGTAGCTTAGGCTATTTCTACCCCCCCAAGTTAGCGGTGAATAGGCTCCGTCGAAGTTCCTCCGTCAGTCAACCTCCGACGTTGAAGAACCTTCGTCTGTTCTAGACCTTGTCAAACGTCCTAATTTATTATTGTATGTATGTATATATATACAAAAGTTCTTACATTCTTGTAAGAACGTGTCCACCCATTCTGCCACTAGCATGCGTAGCGTTTCGGGCAAGTCCTTAATCCGTATTTTCTCTGGAATACGACCCGCCAAATCCTTTTAACACAGCGGTGTACCGTTAAGGATTGGCGCCTAGTCAATCCTTCCCCGGCCAGGATACCAACCCAGGTAACATCGCTCGTGAAGCGCAGGACGATCGTGTTACAGCTGCGCCACGGGGAATGTCTCCACTTAGAAAGCAGAACAGCAGGTGGAGTAGTGCAAAGAATTGTGCCTGGAGCATAAACTGTTGGGAGGAAGAAGGGCGAGTTGCACTCTATCAAGATCTACGACTAGTTTAATGAGAGTATGGTTTACCTTATGGTCCCCATAAGACCTAGGTCAACTACCCATGACCTTGTTGGGGTAAAGACCTATCAACCTCTGGAGTACTTCAATAAACTTTTTTATGTTTCTGGAAGCTTGTTGAGGCCATCTTACTGACAAAGCAGCAAGTTTAGTGCTAGGCTTAAGACGTATCAACGTCTGGAGAGGTAATAAGCCTATCGCGTTCATGGGAGTTATTAAAGCCTATCAAGTTCACGTAAGTTTATTGAGAAAAGGAAGTACATCTCAAAAGGATAGGTCATTTAGTAAGACCTTACTGACCAATTAACAAGTATACCTTACTACTGAATATAGTCCAATACCGATGTAATTTTCTTCATGTATTTTACTCTTGCATCAAGTGAATGATAATCATGAATTGTAATTATGCTACTTAAATAAATATTACATTTATATTTCTTACAGATAATGGGTTGCTTGAGTATCATGCTAATTACCCTTATTGGGTTGGTCTCTACACAAGCACAGGTTTTCTTCAGGGGAAACTGTCCCAAAACGCCTATCATTAAAAATTTCGACTTGCACAGGGTGAGTTCCATTAAATATTAGGTCTCTTAGGCTGACAAATTAAACCTATAGTGTAAATAGAGTTGTGTGTATACATATATTGAATAATAGGTTACATAAACATTGACAAAATGTGTCTTTAATTTCCCACGAGGTATACAATCTTCTTTTATCCTCTGCATGTATGTTTGTACTTAATAATAATAATTTTTATTGACCAGACCACACACTAGAAGGTGAAGAGACGACGACGTTTCGGTCCGTCCTGGACCATTCTCAAGTCTCCCAATCGACTTGAGAATGGGTCCAGGACGGACCGAAACGTCGTCGTCGTCGTCCCTTCACCTTCTAGTGTGTGGTCTGGTCAACAGACTTCAGCCACGTTATTGTGACTCCTCGCCTGCATAATAATCTTTATTTGTGTAGTATCTAGGGCGATGGTTCGAGCAGGAGCGTTTCTTTGTGGCCTACCAGACCGTAGGCAAGTGCTGGAGCGGTACCTATTTGAGAGACAAAAAGGGCAAACTCTCCGTTCGAATTGACTTCTGGGACGTAGTGTAAGTTCTCCCTTTCTCTTTTGTATTATTAACAAGTTTCGGCACACTATAGCGTGCTGTTATAATTCAATAATTCGTTTTGTCGGTGACAGGAAGCCTAGTGTGTGTATAGAATTCAAACATTAGGCTTGTATCGGTACTCCCGTAACTCCTGATGGCTATTTATTAGGTTAACAGGCATTATATTAGGTGAACGGAATCGTGTAGACCCATTTCTGTTCCGCCTGGGGAATCGAACCCAGGATTCCTGATTATGAGTCGAGAATGAAACCATTTGTATTACGAGACAATTTACATTTAAGCAAGAATTCATCATTTTCTATTAACATTTAAGCAAGAATTCACCATTTTCTATTAACATTTAAGCAAAAATTCATCATTTTCTATTAACATTTAAGCAAGAATTCACCATTTTCTATTAACATTTAAGCAAGAATTCATCATTTTCTATTAACATTTAAGCAAGAATTCACCATTTTCTATTAACATTTAAGCAAGAATTCACCATTTTCTATTAACATTTAAGCAAGAATTCGCCATTTTCTATTAACATTTAAGCAAGAATTCATCATTTTCTATTAACATTTAAGCAAGAATTCACCATTTTCTATTAACATTTAAGCAAGAATTCACCATTTTCTATTAACATTTAAGCAAGAATTCACCATTTTCTGTAAAATGTAGACAACAAAAAACGGGAAATTTTGAAGCACTAACTATAGTCCCAACAACGGGGGGGGAGGGGGGACGCCGTACCCCGATAATGGCTTGACGCTTCCTCTTACTAATTACTCTATCACTGCAGGTTTAGCCGGCCGAGTAAGCTGACAGTGGAGGTGGTCCAGAGGAAGCCGTACGCAGAGCCCAATCGCCTCACCTACAGGATCCCCGGAGTGCCCGTCTTCGAAGACAACTACGAAGTCCTCGCCACTGACTACGATAACTGGACCCTCGAGTACGCCTGCATGGAGAGACAGCCTTTTGGGCACACGCGTAAGTGCTCGGGTTAATGTCATTACACACAGAAATGCTACGACTATGACCATGTCGTAGCCGATTAAGGCAGCGTCTGGGATGCTCTCGGACGCAGGTTCGAATCCTCGTCACGGCCCTTGTGGATTTGTTCATTTACTCGGGTTAATTTGGTTTCGTGTTAGGTTTGTAAGGGTTATATCGACCTCTGTATAGGGTTCTAATAATAATTAGTAATGGTAATGTCATCTCACAGATATAATAACATAGGATAACAAAAATATACTTGTGTATTTGTGAAATTTATGTAAGGAATTTACACTAAGTCTTTCGCACTCTCCTGAGTGCTTTGTCTCGTCTTAATCACACACTCAGGCCTTGACATACCACTCAGGAGAGTGCGAAAGACTTTGTGTAAATTCCTTATATAAATTTCACAAATTCACGTGTGAATTTTTGTCCAATAATAATAATAATTTACCTAAATTATTATAAAAGTAATTATCATATTATTATTTTATTCCGCCAATGTGAAATTTCAATCGTAACAGCAAGGATATGAAACAAAGAAAATATTGCTTTAATATATAAAGAAACGACCAATCAACCCAAAGATTTATTTTTAAAGCATTAGTAATAAAATATAATTGTTAAATGTAATATTTCCTTTGATATATCCCACTTGGATAAATCAGTACGTCAGTTTTGGGCTCGGTACGATACAAGGTTTGCAGCTTCGTCTGCAATGTCATTTCCTATTATTCCCACATGACTTGGCACCCAGTTGATAAGTACCCGAGGTGAGACATGATAGATACGTGTAGATTTAAACTAACTAAACACAGCTGCCGAAGGAATATAAGAAAATTCACTTTCGCAATCAGAGTGGTAGACGGCTGGAACAAGTTAGGTGAGAAGGTAGAGGCCAAAACCGTCAGTAGTTTCAAAGCGTTATATGACAAAGAGTGCTGGGAAGACGGGACACCACGAGCGTAGCTCACATCCTGTAACTACACTTAGGTAATTACACACATGCACATACAGCAGTTTCAAAGCGCTATACGACAAAGAGTACTAGGTAACTACAATTAGGTATTTACACTTGGGTAATTATACACAAAGAGATGACGAGTCAAGCATATACAGAGAGCGAGAGAGAGAGAGAGAAAGAGTGAGAGAGAGAGAGAGAGAGAGAGAGAGAGAGAGAGAGAGAGAGAGAGAGAGAGAGAGAGAGAGAGAGAGAGAGAGAGAGAGGTGAAGATAGTTTACATGCCTTTTAGTTCACTTCTGACGCATACCCTGTAAACCCTAATATAGACAACAAACAGCCTGCTATGTATACCCAAATGTGTCAATATATACATATATAAAATAATACACATCCAAAACCCTCCTCATCTCTTTCAGAAATCGCCTGGATCCTAACCCGAAAGCCTCATCCATCTTACGATGTGATCCACGAAGCCAAACAGACCCTCACCGCTCTGGGCATTGATATCAGCTACCTCAGGCAACAGGACTCTTCCTGTTACCCTGATTATCCAACCCATTACCGGGATTTGCCAATCAGGAAAAAATCCTCCCACCCTGTATCCTAAACCCCAGAACGTATACAGCCCACCTAACTCATGGAGTCCTGTGTATATCTGTGATTCGTTATTTAATGTTAGTTACGATATCGTTAGCAACGCGATAGTGCATTATTTTGGACAGGCAAAGATGGGTATTTTTTGTGTGTGTATAACACTGAACTTGCTGGTATTATCGTAGCTTTATGTGACACTTTCAGACTGAAGAAAACTTTAGGCTTTAAACTTTAACGCTTTAATACCCGACACCAAACGTAATTACTGGTTAGCTAGTAAGAAGTTAGTCATTCAGTTTCATGCCCGAAACGCTTTGCGTAATAGTGGCTTTAGGCATTGTATGTACTAGCTCCATCTATATATCGAGCAATTTATGTAAAATCTCTTGTATGTATGTACCTTACCTGAATAAACATTTTATTTTATTTTTTTATTTTATTTTAAAAGAATGTCGTGGCTGTTTATATGACTATATTACTGTACACAGGTTATATAATGTATATTAATTATATAATATATAATTAATTTTTCCTACAAACATTTTTGTGTTGGCTAATCCTCTATTTAATTATAGACTGTTTAAGAGTCTTATAAGGGTATGGGGGGGGGACCTTCGACAAGCCGCCGGCTTCATGTCCTCGTCGAGACCATTAGTCTTAGTGGCCCTCAGGTAATTTAGAAATATTATGAATAAATGTATATCATAATTTATTTATTATCTTCTCATAGTGTTGTTAGACAAGTATGTACATTAAACTATAATAAGGACATGAGTATCATTTTTAACGCCCTCAGATGCACGAGGATTACAACAAGTGAGAATAGGATTGGAACAAATCCATGAGGGTTCGAACCAATGCACGGAATGTTCCCAGATGCGTCTTATAGTCAACATATTGACTGTTGTTTACCACGTCTCGGTACAGTTGACTTAAAGGCGCATCTGGGAACATATCCTAGATGCGTAGGTTCGAATCCTCATCACGGCCCTTGTGGATTTGTTCATTTGATGTATCACGCTATTGTGACTTCTGTGGTTCGAATCCCAGCCGGGGCAGAAATGGTTGGGCACGTTTCTTTTCACCTAACGCACCTGTTTACCTAACAGTAAATTAGGTATCCAGGAGTCAGTCAATTGTTATGGGGGGAAGCGTCAGTAATTCGCCCCAGGAAGCAGAACAGAGATGCTTTTTCACCCACAAGGTTATAAACCCATCGTGAGGTGATCTTTACATGATTTCGGTATATTTTATATATATTTTATGTATATTATATAATATAACTATTACAAGCCTGTACGCGAACTGGTCACTATTGGTTCAAAAATAGCCTCACAATACACTATTCTACGTCATCGCTACTCTAAACAAACTTCTCCTATCCTGACCAAACCCATCCTAGCCTACACTAACCAATCCTAATACAATTTATCCTAACATAATGAAAATATAAGATATTTATAGTTTTCGTTCTAATATATTTGATATATCTCGCGAGGTAAGTGATGCCACTGTGACGTCAGCGGCTCCAGGTGGCACTTTTTGGACCCGACTAGTGACGTTAGTGGCTTGCCTCCCGGGGCTGTTTTTGAACCCGATTGGTGACGTCAGCGTTTTGCCTCCATGGGACACTTTTTGGACTTGATTCGTGACGTAAGTGGCTTACCTCCCGGGGGCTCATTTTGGAGCCAATTCATGACGTCAGCGACTTGCCTCCCAGGGACAATTTTTGTACTCAACTTGTGACGTCAGCGGCTTGCCTCCCGAGGGCACTTTTTGGACTCGTAACGTCAGAGGCTTGTCTCCCGGGTGCTCTTTTTGACCCCGATTCGTGACGTGTTCGGCTCTCCTACCGGGGGTACTTTTTGGATCTAACTCGTGACGTCAGCGGCTTGCCTCCCGGGGGCTCTTTTTAGACCCAATTCATGACTTCATCGGCTTGCCTTCCGGGGCATTTTTTGGACCAGACTCGTGACGTCAGCGACTTACCTCCCGGGAACACTTTTGGAGCCTACTCGTGACGTGTCCGGCTCTCCTACCAGGGGTACATTTTGGACGTAACTCGTGACGTGTCCGGCTCTCCAATCGGGGGTACATTTTGGACGTAACTCGTGACGTGTCCGGCTCTCCTATCGGGGGTACTTTTTGGACCTAACTCGTGACGTGTCCGGCTCTCCAACTGGGGGTACTTTTTGGACCTAACTCGTGACGTCAGCGGCTTGCCTTCTGGAGGCACTTTTTTGGACCCTAAAAGGGTTGCCAGATTGGGCTACAAGTAGCGAATTGGGCTAATTTTGAGAGCCCCGCGCTCCCAAATTTTCAATTTCGCTACTTGCTACTTTTTGGGTTAATTTAAAAACAAGATGGGCTAATTTGGGCTATTAATTTAATTAATTTAATTAATAATTATCACTTTAACGCAACCGGACCGTAAATATACGGCCCACTTGGCTAACGGGTTCCGCAACCGCGCCGTAAATAGCCGGCCGATCTAAAAATAAACATATAAAATCCAATTCTTATTCGATCGACTTGGGGTTAGTATGAAAATGTTTGCCATTAAATTTCCGTTTTTTCTAATAGGCACATGGCCTATTTGAGAAAACGGCATTGTATTGTAACTTAGAGGTGAGACTATTGAGTTGTTGACACAACGAGGGTAATCGCTCACTTCACACACTCTTGGTGTGGGCCGCGATCATGATTCTACATTTATATGCATATGTCTGTGTAGGGAATTTTATTGCGAGTTCAGTGATATAAAATATAACGCTGTAGGACTAATGTGGAGCTAACAATAAACAAAAGAGTATGAACATTTTGTTGCTGTTCATTAGTTATCACTCGTCACGGCGAGTGATCTACGTTTTATTTATTTCGTGGTAGAATAACTAATGCTTTGGTGACATGTTATACATATGATCTTGTAGAGAATTTTATTGCCAACACATTGATATCAAAATAAAATACGTAGCTAGAGAAGTGGTGTCAGGAGAGTGAAAAGATTACACACTTTTTGGTGTTTACGCTCAAGAGCGCAAAACGCCGCGCGCACAATGCACTAGTTTTTTTCACGGGGCGCGTGCGCATAATGTTAAGAAATTCAATGATGATTTATATTGAATTTTGTAACTAGCTCATCAAGATTGTAACTTGCTTAGCTCAATGAATTGTGGGGTTCAGTCCCTGAGCCCATTATGTGCCTCTATAACCCATTCCACTACCGCCCACAAGATGGGTATGGGGTGCATAATAAATGAACTAAACTGACTATTTATGGTCAGATGTAACACAAGCGTCCCACGATAGCAGCCACAGACTGACGATTTAAATTCGTCATTGTATATGTACTAGCATTGTAGGTACATTGTATGTACATTGCATTGTATGTACTAGCATTGTAGGTACATTGTATGTACATTGCATTGTATGTACTAGCATTGTAGGTACATTGTATGTACATTGCATTGTATGTACTAGCATTGTAGGTACATTGTATGCACATTGCATTGTATGTACTAGCTCTATCTATAAATTCATCAATATTTGTATCATCCCTTGTATGTACTGTATGTACTTTACCTAAATAAACATTTGAATTTTGAATTTTGAATTTTTTTTTTAAATGCGAGTACAGCGCCCAGTATATCGTCGGTAATTGGATTACATTGGTTTGATTTGGGTTGAGTTAGGTTAGTCAGGTTTCAAAATTTCAAAATTGCACTACGCCACGGAGCAGTCTCTGTGGCGCAGTGGTAAAGCGCGCGCCCGGCTCCTTTGACCCGTCGGCCGGGAAGGACTGACCGGGCGACAATCCTTAACTGTTCACCCGGCAGAGAATGGGTTGTTTGGCGATTTGGCGGGTCGTATTCCGGGGAAAATAGTGGGATTAAGAACCTACCCGAAATGCTATGCATGCTATAGTGTCTTTACAAGAATTTAAAAACTTTTATTCTATATAAATAAACAAAAAATAAAGAAAATCCGCTGTCGTATCTTCTTGTGCGCGATGCAACTTGTATCTGGCATAATTACAATATTAACTTAAATAATTCGTTTGTTAGACAATATATGATATTCAGATTTATAAATTACTTTAGTAAGGCCTAATAATGCATATAAATATTAATTTACACACTTTTAATGGCTATATACGATAGGAATTTCAAAATGGCGTTCAAATAATTTTAGGCAGGGGGTCTCTGGGGGCGGTTGGTCGCTACGGGTCTTCACGCTGACCCGGTCAGTCCTCAGGAAGCAGCGGCGGCGTGAGTATGTCGCTCCCGTGTAGGTAAGGCTGATCAATTATTTTTGCTATTTGAGCAGTTGGGAGGTACACATGAATATATAGTCTACCTCCACCTACAATGCTAAATGCATTATACATTTGTTCGCTGTTATAACATTGAGTTTTGTAATGTCTCCGAGGGTAATTATTTCCGTATTTTTTTTATCCGGGTTGTGTAGTATTTAAATGTTTGTATTCCACTAATGCTAAATAGTCTGTTCTCTCTCGGATATTATGGAAGATTTTGAGGATCATGATTTGCCAACATTATATGGGTAGGATATTATGTAGAATACACTTCCATAGTTAAACCACCCTGTCGTCAGACTAGGCTCGTTAACGCGGCAGTCGACCCTCCGCCTCCACCTCCCAAGACGCATTTATTATCGACTTTCACGTACCGTGTATTAAAAATATTTTGTATCGTGTATAAATTAATTTTATAATCTATGTTTAATTAGGCGTATAGTAGGTTCGGTATTTAGGTTCTGTTGGCAATTATTTGCACTTGAAGTATGTGGAGGGTGAAGCATTTACAGTTGCCTGTCCTCAGGCCAGGCTCGCCTAAGCGGCGGCCCGACCCAAAGTCGCGTTCGACAAGTTCAAGTATGTTTATTGAGATAAGAAATACATCTCAAAGGGATAGAGTAGCTTAGGCTATTTCTACACGCTCGACAATTTTATCGCTCTGTGTATTCAGAATTATTCTCGCGTATAAGATATTATTTCATCAAGTTAATAGTTTAGAAACTAAGTTTAGTGACAAGCGATAGTCTTGTGTACACTGTAATAGATGAACAACTTCCTAACAGGAAGGAGCGGGGACACCCTTCCAGGAACTGAATTTACCCGAGGGCCACTAACACTAGTGGCCTCGATGAGGGCAGTAAGCCGGCGGCTAGTCAAAGGTCCCCCAATTTGTCCTGATCTTTTCCAGCTGTATTTTAAAACCCAGCAGAGTTTTGGCGTTTACGGCTTCGGCGGGTAGGCGGTTCCACGGGTTTACAACCCTATGGGTGAAAAAGCATCTTTTTGTTTCTTGTCCAACTTTCTGGCTTGTTGAGTTTGAACCCGTTGCTCCTTGTTCATGTTACATCTGACCTTTTGAAGACATTGTCCTGATCGACATCCTCCAAATTGTTTAGTATTTTAAAGGTTTCTATGAAGTCCGCGCTGTCATGCCTGGTTTGTGGTGTTGTTAGCCCTGTGGCCCTCAACCATTCCTGATACGAGAGATGACTAAGCTCTGGTATGATTTTTGTCGTAAGACATAGCTCCATAGCTCTGGTAAGACATGGCTCCAGAGCAGCTGTGTCTTTCTGAAGATGTCTCCATGCCTGGATGCAATCATTCATGTGGGGGCGCACCAGAAACTTATACAATTGAAGGTCTACTTTCTTTTCCTTGAAGGTAAAGGAACGCATGATTATTCCCAGGGTTTGGTTTGCTTTTATACTGCCGCTCCCACTTATTGTACAACTGTCAGTGATTGGTGGATTCTGACTCCAAGATGATGTTGATTCAGTAGTTGTGTTGTGTATTGCTTTGCCCCACATGCAAGGTCTTGCATTTATCGACATTAAAAAGTTATCTGACCATTTGTGGAGTTCATGTAGATCTCTTTGTAAGGTTTCAATATGGCTTTCGCTTCCCACTTTACCATAGATCTTAGTGTCGTCTGCAAATTTGTTGTGGTTTGTAATATTCTACTATGTAGAATATGTAGTATATACATATACTATGTATATGACAAAAAGGGTTGGGGCCCCATAATGGATCCTTTGGCACTCTGCTTAGCACACTGGTTGGGGGTTGGATGAGATATTTGCTTGTTAGGCTTGCTAATACACAACTGGACGGGCTCCAGTTACACAACTGGTCGGGCTCCTGTTACACAACTGGTCGGGCTCCTGTTACACAACTGGTCGGGCTCCTGTTACACAACTGGTCGGGCTCTGGTTACACAACTGGTCGGGCTCCAGTTACACAACTGGTCGGGCTCTGGTTACACAACTGGTCGGGCTCTGGTTACACAACTGGTCGGGCTCTGGTTACACAACTGGTCGGGCTCTGGTTACACAACTGGTCGGGCTCTGGTTACACAACTGGTCGGGCTCTGGTTACACAACTGGTCGGGCTCTGGTTACACAACTGGTCGGGCTCTGGTTACACAACTGGTCGGGCTCCGGTTAAATAACTGGTCGGGCTCTGGTTACACAACTGGTCGGGCTCCGGTTAAATAACTGGTCGGGCTCCAGTTACACAACTGGTCGGGCTCCGGTTAAATAACTGGTCGGGCTCCAGTTACACAACTGGTCGGGCTCCAGTTACACAACTGGTCGGGCTCTGGTTACACAACTGGTCGGGCTCCGGTTAAATAACTGGTCGGGCTCCAGTTACACAACTGGTCGGGCTCCGGTTACACAACTGGTCGGGCTCTGGTTACACAACTGGTCGGGCTCCGGTTAAATAACTGGTCGGGCTCCGGTTACATAACTGGTCGGGCTCCGGTTACTTAACTGGTCGGGCTCCGGGGGTGTCACCTTTGCTTCGGGTTGTGCATGGTCGGGCTCCGGTTACTTAACTGGTCGGGCTCCGGGGGTGTCACCTTTGCTTCGGGTTGTGCATGGTCGGGCTCCAGTTACTTAACTGGTCGGGCTCTGGAGGTGTCACCTTTGCTTCGGGTTGTGCATGGTCGGGCTCCAGTTACTTAACTGGTCGGGCTCTGGAGGTGTCACCTTTGCTTCGGGTTGTGCATGGTCGGGCTTCGGTTCATGCATGGTTGTGCTTCAGATGTTTTTTGTTCGGTTCGTTCTTGCTAGGCTTTCTGTTAAACTGGTCGGGGTCCGGTTACACAACTGGTCGGGCTCTGGTTACACAACTGGTCGGGCTCCGGTTAAATAACTGGTCGGGCTCCGGTTACATAACTGGTCGGGCTCCGGTTTCTTAACTGGTCGGGCTCCGGGGGTGTCACCTTTGCTTCGGGTTGTGCATGGTCGGGCTTCGGTTCATGCATGGTTGTGCTTCAGATGTTTTTTGTTCGGTTCGTTCTTGCTAGGCTTTCTGTTAAACTGGTCGGGGTCCGGTTACACAACTGGTCGGGCTCTGGTTACACAACTGGTCGGGCTCCGGTTAAATAACTGGTCGGGCTCCGGTTACATAACTGGTCGGGCTCCGGTTACTTAACTGGTCGGGCTCCGGGGGTGTCACCTTTGCTTCGGGTTGTGCATGGTCGGGCTCCGGTTACTTAACTGGTCGGGCTCTGAAGGTGTCACCTTTGCTTCGGGTTGTGCATGGTCGGGCTTCGGTTCATGCATGGTTGTGCTTCAGATGTTTTTTGTTCGGTTCGTTCTTGCTAGGCTTTCTGTTAAACTGGTCGGGGTCCGGTTACACAACTGGTCGGGCTCTGGTTACACAACTGGTCGGGCTCCGGTTAAATAACTGGTCGGGCTCCGGTTACATAACTGGTCGGGCTCCGGTTACTTAACTGGTCGGGCTCCGGGGGTGTCACCTTTGCTTCGGGTTGTGCATGGTCGGGCTCCGGTTACTTAACTGGTCGGGCTCTGGAGGTGTCACCTTTGCTTCGGGTTGTGCATGGTCGGGCTTCGGTTCATGCATGGTTGTGCTTCAGATGTTTTTTGTTCGGTTCGTTCTTGCTAGGCTTTCTGTTAAATTGCTCGGGGTCCGGTTACACAACTGGTCGGGCTCTGGTTACACAACTGGTCGGGCTCCGGTTAAATAACTGGTCGGGCTCCGGTTACATAACTGGTCGGGCTCCGGTTACTTAACTGGTCGGGCTCCGGGGGTGTCACCTTTGCTTCGGGTTGTGCATGGTCGGGCTCCGGTTACTTAACTGGTCGGGCTCCGGGGGTGTCACCTTTGCTTCGGGTTGTGCATGGTGGGGCTTCGGTTTGTGCATGGTTGTGCTCCAGGGGTTGTGTGTTAGTGCCTCATGTCTCTTTGCTAGATCATCATAGTTGTTTCTTTACTATGGCTGAGTTCATGTTTATTTTCAATGGCTTCATTGTTGTATTTTTGCAAGAGTTCCAGGTTTCTTTTTTTAATAGGGCTCAATTGTTTGCTTTGGCTCCAAAGTTAGTTGTTAAGGCAAGGGGGGGGGTTGTTAGGTAGGGCTTAGGAAGGGTTTGTTTGGTAGAGCTAGGGAGGGAGTTTGGTTGGGCTCTGGGGCAGTTTGGTTGGCTGAGATGTTTGCTTGCTAGGCTTGCAGTTACACACAACTGGTTGGGGTCTGGTTACACAAGTGGTGGGGCTCTGGTTACAAAACTGGTACAGGGGTGTCACTTGGGCTTCGGTTCGTGTATGTTTGTGCTTCGAATGTTGTTCAGTTCGTTCATGCTAGGCTTGCGGTTACGTAACTGGTTGGGCTCGGTTACGTAACTGGTCGGGCTTCGGGTTGTGCGTATTCGGGCTTCGCTTCGTGCATTGTTGTGCTTCAGAGGATTTGTTCGGTTCGTTCATGATAGGCTTCCAGTTACATATCTAAACAGGCTTCGGGGTGTACAATAAACTACTACTCGCTGGTTGAATTGGGGGAGCTCAATGAACTATCCACCTCTGGCGGCAAAAAATCAATGAAATATGCAACTATGGTCTAGTTGCAAACATTGCAAATAATCCAATGGATTATTGCAGTTGTATTGTTTGCACCATCTTGAGTCTATTTGAAATTGAAATTGAAATAAGTTTATTGATGTAAAATACACACAAAGGGATGAGGTAGCTCAAGCTATTCTCACCCCGTTACGTACATCGTGTTAATACATACATAGACATACATCTTTAGTCTATTCGTTCTGTGATAAGAGACAAACCCCTCGCTGATAGATAATACTAAGATATACAACAGTATAAGCCGTGTGCTAAGCACGTCAGCCACATTTAATATCTATATAATAATAATAATGTTTATCTAGGTAAAAGTAAATACATTCAAAAAGTTACAAGCAGAATGTTGGACTTGTAGATAAAGCTAGTACACACTATGCTTAAAGCCACTAATACACACAGCGTTCCGGGCATCTATCTACAATGATTGTAGTGTAGATATCTTGATATGATTTTGCAATATGAAAGTCAAGACAAACTTATTTAATTCATTGAATTGTATAAGGATAAATCGCCTCACACATTTGAAAAATACTTTTGTATTATTATAATATAATACACTCATGTGCCATCTTATTATTCACAATTTTAACTTTTTCTCAATTTCTATTAAGCATTTTTTTTTATCTTGGCAGACGAGAACTGAAGCAAACACCCGCCAGCGCATGTTTTATATTGGTGCTTGTTGATGGAAGATCTTCTTGCTAATCTACAGCTGTGAAGACGTGATTGGACTTCACACCCATTATGCTTCATACAGTAAATATTGGTAACGTATCCTATTATTTTTTAATATATATATATATATATATATATATATATATATATATATATATATATATATATATATATATATATATATATATATATATATATACTGCACACACACATATATGTGTGTGTGCAGAAATAATATTAATCAAACAATTAACATCATGTAGTATACTCTACATATCAAAATATATTCCTTTGAAACCCATATTTCGCTACTTTTAGACCATCAGCTCGCTACTTTCAGGCAGCCCTGTTCCTGTACCAGGTCCACTACGGGCTCACCATAGCCCGTGCTACTTGAAACTTGTTCCAAGTAGCTGAATCTATAAGAAGAACACCGTCGCTACTTTCACCAATTTGAATTTGGCGCCACTAGACTTGTTATTGTTGTGGCCGCCATGTTGTCTGCCAGGTTGGGGTCGGCGCTTCTCTCCAGGACAAATTCTCTTATTTATCAGCCAACAAGATCAAAATGGGAGAAGAAAATAAGAGTATTCGTGTATCCTTCCCTCCAAGAGCGTCTTGAAGGTATCTTAGAGCGAGGGACTTAAGGGGTTTAGGGGGAAAAACTTTAAGGTTTGGTTAGTCTTTCCAGGACGAGTCTGACATGTTTATAAGGGTTCTGTAGTTTAGTGGTCTGCGTTTTGGGCTCATAATTGAGAATTTTGGGTACAGTCCCCTCTGGTGAGGCATAGTTGGGTTCGTTTCATTCACTTGCTGCTTCTGTTCGCCTGGTAGTAAATAGGGTTGTGGGGTTGTAGTTCTGGTGAAGGTCGTCTGTAGCTGGCCTAGGGCGCCCTGTAAGCCTGATAGGCTTCCTGTAATCAAACCAAACCTAACTAATTCTAGCCAAGGCAGGGCTGGCCAAGCCTAATGTAGCCCGATCTAAGCTCGAAAGATCCTGCCCGAAACGCTTTGCGTAATAGTGGCTTTAGGCATTGTATATACTAGCTCTCTATAAATCTATCAATTTTTGTAAAATCTCTTGTATGTATGTAGGCCAGGGGCCTCGTAGCCTGGTGGATAGCGCGCAGGACTCGTAATTCTGTGGCGCGGGTTCGATTCCCGCACGAGGCAGAAACAAATGGGCAAAGTTTCTTTCACCCTGAATGCCCCTGTTACCTAGCAGTAAATAGGTACCTGGGAGTTAGTCAGCTGTCACGGGCTGCTTCCTGGGGGTGGAGGCCTGGTCGAGGACCGGGCCGCGGGGATACTAAAGCCCCGAAATCATCTCAAGATAACCTCAAGATGTACCTTACTTGAATAAACATTTATTTATTTATTTATTTATAAGCTAACTCATCCTAGCCTAACTATATATGGTTTTGTCATTTAAAAAAAGAAGCTGTTAAAATGCTGTGTAGGATTTGGTAAAATGCCTTTTACAAGTATGGTGTGTCAATGATACAGTATTACAAAGCCATTAATACATTTGTGCGTTACATCATCCTAACAACACGGAAGATAATGCAATGTAATGCATGTACGATGTTCATTGTGGCAGGGCAAGACGCCCTCAGATATGCACGTTACTTGGGCTTAAAATAACGCACCCGAGGTGTTCAGGGATGCGGGTATGATGCCCCATAGTGTGGGCTTGATATTTATATTTTTCGTAAGATCTGTTTTTCATAAGATTTCATTTGTTTGAAATGCTGCATGTGATTAGTGACTTTATAAAAAATAATGATACCACTCACATATAAATTTTATTCTGTTTTAATATTTTTTTAAATTAAAGATGTAAATTATATATAAATTTAATAAAATTAAATACTGTATACAATTAAATATAAATAAAATAATATATTTAATATAATTAAATTAAAATAACATATTATTATATACCTGTTTATATCTGATAGCTCTTTGGCAAACGTATTTGATTAGAAAGTGAATTGTAAAGCTAATCCACCCTTATGTCTTACCTAGGCATAAGGAGTTTATGGATACAAGAATGTAACCTATTCCCCTGCACTCATCAAGAACTGTACTCGGTACATCAAGCCTGTACTCTACCGTAAAGGCAGCTCTTGCTTAGTTTTGGTAATCTGACGAGATCTCTTAACCATGATACCTGGTTGATACCTGGTTGATGGGGTTCTGGGAGTTCTTCTACTCCCCAAGCCCGGCCCGAGGCCAGGCTCGACTTGTGAGAGTTTGGTCCACAAGGCTGTTGCTTGGAGCGGCCCGCAGGGCCACGTACCCACCACAGCCCGGCTGATGGTCTATCAGCCTCCATGGTCTAAATATTTAGATTTTATAGGTCTATAAGTTGATCGTGGAAATTACACTGCTTTGACGTTCTGTACACTACTGTCGCATTGCGGTTTACCCAAAAAATCCAGTCATAGTTATAACAGCTGTCAAATGAATGCCTATGAATAGCCTATGAATGTCAAATAGCTTATTTTCTGGTGTATAAGACATGTTTTTAGTCCACCAACTGAATATACATTTATATACACAAAATCCTGTGTCGTCCCCCCACAACCACTTTAAAATCACTTTCAGTAAATGTTTGATCAAACTTATTAAAATTTTTCCCTCACTGACCTGGAGGCCTGACGGCTGAGTGGACAGCACTCGGGGTTAGTAATCCTGAGGTTCCTGGTTTGATCCCCGGTGGAGGCGCAAACAAATGGGCAGAGATTCTTTCACCCTGATGGTCCTGTTTACCAAGCAGTAAATAGTCCTGGGAGTTAGACAACTGCTACAGGCTGCTTCCTTGAGAGGTGTAACAAAAAAAGGAGGCCTGGTCGAGGACCGGGCCGCAGGGACGCTAAGCCCTGAAATTATCAAGATAACCCCCCTCTAAATATCTTTGTAAATTGAGTGTGTCATGTACACAAGAATATACAGGATATCAAGAATTATCAACTTTTTCATATATTATCCCTGCTTTATTTTCTCCAATATATGTCTTGAAATATTATCAAAGTAATTTCATTATTACAGAACTGGACGTGACGAGGGATGACCCAGAGTTGTATGCTCCTGTTAATATTGGGCTCCCACACATAAACCCATCCCGTCGTGAGCAGCTGAATCACCGCCTACAGTACAGGAAATCACTAAGACAAAATCCGGAGATAGAGAAACTTTCGCGTTCTAGAAAATGTAAGTAGGGAATGCTTATAATTTATAGAAAAACTTAGAATGTCAATTCTGTATGAAGCCAGATTTCATGTCTTGAATATTGATATGTTATCGTGTATTGATTCAAAGGATTACGTGTAAACTACATTAAATTTGTGTGTATGTGGTGATTGACACATTTACAATACTGTATCTTATACATGATACATGTGGTCACATGTATATATATCTTCCATCTAAAAATTATTAACTTACTGACCAATCCTTTCGATTATCAGTTGATAAAATCAATGTTTTTTTTTGTTGAAGCAGCATTGGTATTAGGATCAGCAGCAGCATCAATATTATCATCACTAATCATCAGATGCCAGCATCATCATTAATATTAGCAGGCACCAGAACACCAGGACGCCCTACGAAACTCCAACCTGATCATCACTCCTAACCGTCGCTACTTGGCTGAACGAACCATCTTCGTCAGCCACACGAGTGTCTACATCGCCACCCAAGACCCTGGTACCATACTTGATAGTATCAACACCAGAAACCCGGCTCTGACTGCTGCTACAGTCAAGGTCATCAAGAACAACGACAACCCTAGGCCTACTCTCAAGGTCACCTTCACAACAGCTGCTGCAGCGACCCAAGCTGTGGAAAATGGATTTAGATGTCTGGATATTTCCATCACACCTGACACTGTAAAGAAGGAACGGTACTACAACATTCGCCAGTGCTTTAAGTGCTACAAGTACGATCATGATACCAAGAACTGCCAACAAGCAGAGGTTAAATGCAGCATTTGTACCCAGGATCATCACTTCAAAACCTGCCGGTCAACCACCAAACTGTGCCTCAATTGTGGAGGAGCTCACATCGCCGTCTCCATGGACTGCCAAGTACGACTAGATGAAATAAATAAAACAGTAACTGCCAACCCAACAACCAATCAGCCGGCGAGCTTCAATATCCAAGCTACATCGTTTCCAGTGCTTCCCAACGCTTCTGCTCCTGCTACACAGACGTCCACACCAGGCCAGACCACCCCCCAATGGGGACCCAGGACACAGGCGACTGCAGCTCAGCCAACCAACTTGACTGTCAACCAATCAGCGGCCTCGACCAACACCACTCTCATCCCATGCCTGATCAGTGTAGCTGAGAGAGAGGCGGGAACAGACAACGCAAAATACGTGAGAGTACTGAACAGGCTGCTCGCCCAGAACAACCTGCCTACAATGTTGATACCAGCAGACCTATTTCAACATCACAACGCTGCTTCAACCCAAACAGACGAAATTCCAACACCAACAGTAACCGCAGTCATACCGCAACCACCACCACCGGAGTCGAACCCAGCACAAGTCACCCAGGCAACAGCATCCACCCAGACTACCACCACAGCAGACCAGTCAACCTCATCACCTGCCCCCACCAGCCAGAGACGGAAGAAAATGAGAGCAAAAAGGAGACCAAAAAGTCAGCAAGTGGAAACAGAATCAGATTCAGATGCAGAGTTCCAAGAAGCCCTGGCTGAGACCTTCACATATGAGGCCCCAGACTTCGACCTAAACCCAAGCAAATCAAGCAAGAAAGTGCCCTGCTATGGACTTTACCTCAATCACGGTGGCAATTTCAACGGCAATCGAAGCACAAGAATGGTCATTGCCTTAGAATGCAACAGGATCATGAACCAGCTCAGCACCACCATTCCTTACCCTGTGTTTGTCCACCACGAGACCGTGGAACGCTATGTAGACCTCTGCGCTCTGGAGAGTGCATACATCGACCCTAAATTCGACTTCAAGAGGGGACAAGTGACCTTCCTGGAAGAAGATGAAGACCCGACAGGAATACCAATACCACCGCTAACATTCGGGAAGTACATGCGAATACCTCCTGGCCGAGACACCACCAAGCAACAGTGAACTTACCTCTCACCATCTCAATAAGGAAGACGCCTCCTCCAAGCCAGACAGACCACCTCAAGTGAACCAGGACGACATCACCCTGCCCCACCACTAGCCTCCTGCCGCCCAAGAAGAACTTAAGCTACAGGCTTTGACTGAAAAAACATCTCCAATCCAAGGTGGACGGGCCACCGAACTTTCAAGCCTCCTCTCTCCACATCCAAATCCTCTTCCAAGAATTTCATCGCCCCATCCTTCTTCCTCCCACATCCTTTCCAAGCTCTTTGGACATCAAAGCAAAGCAAAGCAGGATTATTCATCACCATCAGCATTAGCATCACTCATCAGTCATTAGCAATAGCAGTATCCTCATCTTCAATCAAGATTACCAGCAACATCACTCATCATCATCAGCTAAAGTATCATCACAGCTAATTTGAAAATTTCTTAACTAACATCTGATTTCAATTTGACAGTGGCAGTAGATATAAACAAGGTACGCGAAGAATGGGACAGCACTTCTGGGCCTCACCACATTCGGACTTTGGCAGAACATTACGGTATCTTCAGAGACCTTTACGGCTGTGCTTATTTCATACCTCGTGTCGCCTTGAGAATTAACTACAACTTTGATGATGAAATGGTATCGCCTGTCTATAGAGGAAATACCATCAAACCAAGAGAGGTATTGTATCTGTCTATATTAGGGTTTGTCAATCTTTGTACCCTTGAAATCATTCCAGGTCATACTTTAGATAAACATGCATGGATTTCATTGTCAACTGAAATGAGATGATTTCTGACATTTGTTCTTGATACTGATTAAATGAGAAATGGAAAAATGACTCAAAAATACATTCGCATATTGAACAAACCCACAAGGTTTGTTCAATATGCGAATGCGAATATGCGAATCCACGTCCCCTCCATAAGGATGAGGCGTTCGAACCTATGCGCAGGATGTTCCCAACAGCGTCTTGGTCAACTGTGCCATGACATGGTTGTCGTGGCACAGTTGACTAAGGCCCGGTCCTCGACCAGGCCTCCTATTTTTGTTACACATCTCCAGGAAGCAGGTTCCCGTGCGTAGGTTCGAACCCTCATCACGGCCCATGGGGATTTGTTCAATTGATATACCACGCTATTGTGATTTGTGTGTGTACATTTGCATATGATTAGAATTAGCCTATTTATTACAGCCTCGTTAAGAACTAGTTATTGTCAGGTACTGCAGAGCCCCGGTTGCGAAACATCTGTCTATATGGTTAAAAGGAGCTTCATCGTTATCATAAATAACTAATTTTGTTTTGTAAATTAATTGTTTACAATGATTTGCTTGAAGCAAGATAATAAATTGTTATCTAATGATTTGGTAAGGACATGTAAAGTAAATGCAGGTAGGATTTGTAGTGACAAATGAGACCCATAACTGAATCATTCAATTTCACTTCCATTGTTATATTTTAACTAATACCTGAAACTTTGCAGCGAGTTTGATTGCTCGGTAAACTTATTCCACAGATCTGCAGTACTATTTTTCTATGTACAATGAGTTATGTTAATCCAGTATGTTGTATATTTTTTTTAGGCGTCTACATGTCCTACAGTCCAGTTTAAAAGTGAGCCGAATGAGCTGTGGACGTTGGTCTTGACAAATCCTGATGGGAATCTGCTGGAAAATAAGTCCGAGTGCCTTCATTGGTTTATGTGAGTGTTGATCTTTCTGCCTGTTACATGATCAATAAATTTAGCATTTTTGCTGTGAAATTTTATTCATTGTGGTAATGAATATAAGTCAAAGAATAAAGGGAAGGGAATTATCAGAGAGAGTGCCAAGCCACTATGACTATATAGCACTGGGAAGGGGTCAGAATAAGGATTTGGGATGGAACAGTGGGGGGGGTGGGGTAAGGAATGGTGCCCAACCACTTAGACGGTCGGGGATTGAACAGTGAATTGCATGAAGCAAGACCGTAGCTCTAACGTCTAATCCAAGTGGTTGGACCAAAAGATGGAAAATGATGACATTTTGGCCCATTATTGGATCCTTTTCAATCTCGTGTAGAACCAAAGCGCAGTCATATTAGACACTATATTTTCATTAGAGCATTACTTTTGATTACTGATCATTCCTTTACAGCGGCAACATTCCCGGTGGAGACATTGCTTCTGGGGAGGTGATATGCGACTACCTCCAGCCTTTCCCACCTCGAGGCATCGGGTATCAGCGCCTCGTATTTGTGTTGTACAAGCAGGATGGACGCATTGACTATTCCAACTATAAGAAAGAAGAGCCTTGGTTAGTGATGACCCCTCAAATGCGCAGAGTGCCTTAAGGTGCTCTGAGAGGTGTGCTATTTTTTTTAATGAGGCTATATTTCAATGTTTTTTTAATGTTTTCATCACTCTTTGTGATTTGAAATGAAAATAGTGGAGTTTGGAAACATCTTGACATTAACTTTACCCGAACATTTCTAAAAAACAATAAAAATATGTCCTTAACAATTGCACTACGAAGTTTTTGTCCAAAACAGGTGTGTAGTGCAGGGGTTACTGTTCCATATAAGGTGTAGTGCATTGGTTAATGTTCCATATAAGGTGTAGCGCAGGGGTTAATGTTCCATATAAGGTGTAGCGCAGGGGTTAATGTGCCATATAAGGTGTAGTGCAGGGGTTAATGTTCCATATAAGGTATAGTGCAGGGGTTAATGTTCCATATAAGGTGTAGTGCAGGGGTTAATGTTCCATATAAGGTGTAGTGTAGGGGTTAATGTTCCATACAAGGTGTAGTGCAGGGGTTAATGTTCCATACAAGGTGTAGTGCAGGGGTTAATGTTCCATACAAGGTGTAGTGCAGGGGTTAATGTTCCATACAAGGTGTTGTCTCATAAATTGGCATTTTTTTTTTATAAACAAATTGGAGGTATTTGTGTTCACAATTAATTTATTAAGTGACTTATTTATCTTTCAGATTTATAGGTAAAAGCAATTGCGAGTTACATCACCTGTGTGAAGGTATTCGTTACTGAAATTATTTTGACTGAAATTTTTAGGACAACAAAATTTGGTTTTTCTTTGATTGGGGTTCAACATAGTTTGAAAGAATGTGATTCATTCATTATATTTTCTACTTTGAGCTCCCCATGAATGCAGGAAACATGATAATATCAAGAATATTAGTTCAGTCATTTTTAATAAGTTTGGATTTCCATTAAATTTTTTTGTTAAAAACCTTTTCACTTACAGCTTTACGGTGTTAAAATTTCTCTCTCTCTCTCTCTCTCTCGAAGGGACAGGATTATTTATTTTATTTTTGTAAATTACCTTTTCACTTGCTGCTATTCCATTTATCTGGGCTGTAGGAGACTCGAACCCTGAACCCCCACGCATGTGAGGCTAAAGCTCTCTTAACCGCACTATTGAGTGGTCTTAATAAGGAAAGTTTCCAGACGAAGCAGCATCCTGCTGCCGAACTGGATATTTTGGAAATTTTACTTGCTGCTATTTCAGTGTTATAATTCCACTGAAGGATCAACCTCATATTACATTGTGAATTTCACTTTCCAGTTTGTCACTCAAGGAGCGAAGCTTCTCTTCACTGACGTTCTATCGGGAGTTGCAGGACGTCATCACGCCGGCAGGTTTATCATGGTTCCAATCAGACTGGGACTCTTCCCTCACCAACTTCTTCCATCACACGCTGAGTAAGGGGGGAGGAGGATTTCATAATAAAAATATTGTTGCATGACTAGATATTTCCTGCTGTAGACACGGGGATACATTACGGGATACATTAAGGCGCCCGACAGCAAGGTGGACAGCGCTTCGGATTCGAAGTCCTGAAGTTCCGGGTTCGATCCCCGGTGGAGGCAGACAAATGGGCAAAATGTTTCTTTCACCCCGATGCCCCTGTTACCTAGCAGTAAATAGGTACCTGGGAGTTAGACAGCTGCTACGGGCTGCTTCCTGGGGGTGGAGGCCTGGTCGATGACTGGGCCGCGGGGACACTAAGCCCTGAAATCATCTAAAGATAACCTCAAGATTATTGAAACACATTGTGCAGACCACTATTCAAGCAAAGTGTACTTAACTCTTTATCACATACAGTATTTCCAATATTCCAAATCCACGAGGGTGGCTCTTGAAGTCTCCAGTATTCATATACTGTAATTATATCATGTTAAAAAGAGTTCATTTTGAAATAATCTTCATCTATGAGAGTACAGTGTATAATTTTTGACAGCACAATAGTATATGTCAATATAATTGTGTTATACTGTTATATCAGAGTTATGTTGATATTTTTTATCGGTATAATTTTGAGTTATTTTCAGATCTTATATTACATTTCTTTCATAAATATTTTTACCATTTCAGAAATGAAGGAGCCAGTTTATGAGTATGAATTCCCACCGCTCTATCTTGCACCTCAAAAGTATTTCCCATTGAAGAGACCGTTTAACAGGTAGGTTATCATAAATTTGTTGCATTGCATCTGTTTATTCACTTGTATATCGAGAGTGATCAAATCCACAAGGGCCGTGACGAGGATTCGAACCTGTGTCCGGGAGCATCCTAGACACTGCCTTAATCGACTGAGCTACGACAGGGTTAAAAAGAGTTGAAACCGAAGTTCTACTGAACTTACTGGATCCTGTAGCCTCTCCGAGGTACAAACCAGGATTTTTACACAACTCCCCCCTGCACCCGAGCTATGTCAATAGGCCGTTCTCCCTCTTCGCCCTTACATCATTACACACAGATCACACTAACGTGATGCATCAAATGAACAAATCCACAAGTATTTGTGGATTTGTTCATTTGATGCATCACGTTAGTGTGATCTGTGTGTAAATCGAGAGTGATGTTCTTTATCTTGTAGCTTTTCTTGTTTTTCAAAGTTTCTCGGCTGCCAACACAACCTTGGGGGCGCCCAGCCTCGTCTTCCCAGTTTCTCGGCACTTGAAGCATTAGGTGACCAATCTTGATCTTTCTTATATGGCAATACAGTACAACCTCGAATCGACACACTACATGGGACTAACCCTTAGTAGTTGCAGTGAGGGATTTGTTGAAACCGGGGATGTATTCAGGATGCATTTCCCATGTTCTGTGGGCTGATTTCACTTAGCAAATTTTTTATTTCAACCTATAAAAGAATAGAAAACTACCAAATAAACATGTCTGCAAATTTTTTTAAACAACGTCTAACTTATTTCTTACGTCTCCAGCCTCAAAACTCATTGTAGGAAGTTAGCAAAGCCATACATACCTGAGTGAACGAAAATCTTTCCAACTCAGAATTAAAACAAACCATGGAATTTGGTTTTAAATATCCTCAATAGCTTTACCAAGGCTCCAACTATTTGTTGAAATGTCGAGTCTGTTTACATAAATCATTAAACAAAGAAATTGGAGCCATATTTAGAGAGTTACCATTGATACCCTAATATCTATATCTCTCTATATCTCTATTTCTCTATATCTCTATTTCTCTATATCTCTCTATATCTGCCTAATGTCTCTAATATTCTCAAACCTATATTGTTTGCTGACGATACTACCCTTATCTATTCAGACCTCAACCCACATACACTAAATTATGTTGTGAATAATGAATTAAAAAAAGTCCACTTATGGATGTCAACGAACAAACTAACATTAAACATCGAAAAGACTTACTACATCTTATTTGGAAGCAAATCATCAAATGCAATTCAGCTACAGATAGACAACATTAACATCAGTAATAAAAATGATGGCAAATTTCTTGGCCTATTCCTAGACAAGAGACTCAACTTCAGCACCCACATTCAACACATAACTAAGAAAGTCTCTAAGACAGTTGGTATACTCTCCAAAATCAGATATTATGTTCCTAACTGCTCTCCTCTCACTATATTATGCACTAATCTACCCCTATCTTAATTATGGTATCTGTGCATGGGGGTCTACCACTGCAAACCACCTTAAGCCCATCATCACACAGCAAAAATCTGCTATCAGAATAATAACTAACTCTGCTTTCAGACAACACTCAGCTCCCTTGTTTAAATCCCTAAACTTGCTAAATACTAACTCCCTCCACACATTCTCTTGTATCAACTGCATTTACAAAACCCTGTTCTTAAATGCAAACCATGCTCTGAAACTCTCCCTGGACAGATGTAATAGGACCCATTATCACCACACCAGAAATAAATATCTCTTTGATATCCCCAGGGTCAAGCTTAATCTGTGTAAACACTCTATGCAAATTAAGGGACCTAGTCTATGGAACTCACTCCCTAGTGAATTGAAACTGTAAAACTTTTGCCTTATTTAAAAGCAAAACCAAAAAGTACCTAATTTCATCTTCTTAGTTTCCTACACTGAGCTTTAAATTTGCTTTGTACCTAGTGTTACCCAATCTCCTAATTTTTATGTAGTATCAAACAACCTTATCATTGTGTTCATTGCTGTCTTCTTTTATGTGCTAGCCATATGCTGTATTGTGCCTACCAATTTTTGTCAACTACCATTCAAGCTGTCATTGCAATCAATCTTAGCTACCTATGTGCTTTAATATACTGTACCTACAATTTTCTCTCATCTTTTTTTCATTCCATGTAACTGTTATCATTTTTTTGTCTATAAATTTTGCAAGTATTTACCTCCTTAAAATTTTCTTAGATTAAGGACCTGCCCGAAACGCTGCGCGTACTAGTGGCTTTACAAGACTGTAATTACCATATTATGTATCCTCACATTCCCAATGTACATTCTTGTATATGCATAAATAAATAAATAAATAAATAAATAAATTAAATAAATAAATATATATCTCTCTCTCTCTCTCTTTCGGCTGATTTCACAAAGTGAAATTTAATTTCAACCTGTTATATAAAGGCCAGATACCAAGAGACCATCTGTCTGTAAACAGATTTAACTACATCTTGCATATTTCCCCCAATGCTTTAGTTTGGTTTTTTAGCTTTTATATATTTTCAGACTATATAAAGGGAATAGTACCAAATTCTACTATCTAATTGTCTAGAACATCATGTGTGTGTACTATGTTCTACATGGTTACAAAAAAAGTACTATCCAAACAGGTGGTTTGGGTTGATAAAACGCTAAGAATACAAAAAAACTGCAGAAGGCTTATTGGTTCGTACGAGGCAGCTTCTATTAGCCCATACTAGGTGGCTCCTATTAGCCCATACTAGGTGGCTCCTGTTGGACCATATGAGGCAGCTCCTATTAGCCCATACTAGGTGGCTCCTGTTGGACCATACAAGGCAGTTCCTGTTTATATCTAACCCCAAAATCCTTCCTATATATATATGTCTAACCAACGCTTGAAGTAATCGAGGGATTGTATGTCAATTATATTTCCCAATTCACCTAACAGTGAAAGGATAAAAATATATAATTTGTCTAAAATCATAAAAAATTGTTGTAAAGCATTCAAAAACCTGTATTTGACATGTATTTTCTGAACCTATTAAAGAGAGTTTTAATGTAAACTGTTTCTTTCCAGCTACATGGATTTGCATCGTGATCCGAAGGAGATTAGCAAGGAAATTCTTTTGCAACGGCTGAAGAAACTCAACCCACTAGAGCGCGAGAAGCCTGTCCTACCCTTCCCTGGTGCTATTAAATTCCCTAAAGGCTTAACTAATTGGGAGAAGAAAGACTTCCACAGGAAAAATCTGGGTATTGGAAAATATCGGGATCTATACAAGGGCTCTAATAGGCCCGAAGTTTAGAACTCTCCATAAATATACACAGTAAAGAAAAGAATGGATATAGTGACAATATTTTACTTGACTGGTTAAGACTTCAGAAAGCATCAAAACAGACATCATTTTTCTTTATTTTCAGTTGTAAGAATGTTCCGTGTCCAATTTCCAGCCATGTTATTGTGACTTTTTGTGGCATACTTGCATTGGTTTCATGCTAAAAGATATTAATTTGAAAAAAAGGTAATGTTTTAAATAGGAAGCACTGTTTATACAAATTCCTGTTTATATAGATACTGTATATATTCAAATTGAAATACCTTATTTGTTGTGAAACATGACACTTTTTCATTATAAACGAATATTAATGCATTGTTTTATTATCAATGGTTTCAATATTTTATGAGAAGTGAAACCTCTATGTGTGTGATTATATTTTCCTGTGTTATAGTTGATTTTTTACCTTTAATGAATTCTTGTTGAATGTCCTGACTTCCAGGACGAGCGTGTGTCTTGCTTTCCGACTGTCCCTCGCGGTCAATTGTCTTTCGATAGAATCCTTGGTGAATCGGATACTTTTGATATTGTTCGCCTTATGCACTTCTGTTCCCGTGTTGGCGAGTTCCTTGGTGATATTTAGTGCCCTCTGATTATTCCGCACATTTGGTGGTGCTACATAGCCTTCCCGATTTAGTGCCTTCTTTTGATAATTACTGTACTTACATGCCTTTAATGGAGGTGGGGGGGGGGCAAAGAGGTCTGTTTTGACCACGGGCTGTGTTTATGCATTGCCGAGATTTTCATTTTTAAAGCCACTCTGTTAAATACTTTACTGTATAGGGTATCACACCTTGGATACGTACAATTAGCGTCGTTCTCGACTGACACTTGGAGATCTTGCATTCCATTCTCGGGCTGGACAGAAATGGTTGGTTACATTTCATTTCATCTACTGCCTCTATTCACCTAGCATTAAATAGGTGCCTGTGATTTAGGCAACTGTTGTGGGGGTTGCATCTTGTAAATGATCAATAGTTTGACCATGGCGAGACCTTAATACAACCCTGAAGTATATCACAGCCTTTCTCATCCTGACAAAATTTACTATTATTCCCCACCAATCAGGCCTCCTGATTGGTGGGCTGGTGAACAACGCTGTTAGAGGCTGCTGCTGGTCATAATCTAACAGATTACTTAAACCTAGTTGATTGGGTTTTCTTTTGTAGGTATTCACCCCCCCTCCCAAACAATGAGAGATGTATAGTTATGCTGCTTGTGTATAGGAGGAGGTTGTACAAGTTATGCTTGTACAAGCATATACAGTACAAGCACAAGGAGCATATACACAAGGTATGCTGCTTGTGTATAGAAGGAGGTTGTAAGTTATACTTGTACAAGCATATGCAGTACAAGCACAAGGAGCATATACAGAAGTTATGCTCCTTGTGTATACAGGAGGAGGTTGTAGAGCAACCCGTTCTCGCAAATTTAATAAGTCAATATTGACTTATTAAATATGTGCATAGGTGACATACTTAACATAATAGTTTCCCTTGAAAAGCTTCATAGAAAACACCGACCTTACCTAACCTTCTTAGTATGTTAAGATAAGCATCTTATTGCTTCGTAATTACAATTATTACCTAACCTATGCCTATAATAGGTTAAGTAACAATTGTAATTACGAAGCAAAAAGATGCTTATTTTAACATACTAAGTAGGTTAGGTACGGTCGGTGTTTTCTATGAAGCTTTTCAAGGGAAACTATTATGTTTAGTATGTCACCTATGCACGCAACTAATAAGTCAATATTGGCTTATTAAATTTGCGAGAACGGGTTGTGTAGAGTTGTGCTCCTTGTGTATAGGAGGAGGTTGTTGAAAAGTCTTGGGTCCTCAATATTAAGAGAATTGTTTATCATAATCATACCACATTTGTCAGACCAATCCTGGAGTATGCAGCTCTGGAATGGAGTCCATGTCTCGTCAAGCATAAGACTTGAATTGGAAAAGTTTCAGAAGTTTGTCATCAGACTGGTACCTGAACTGAGAGGTACGAGCTACGAGGAGAGACTACAGGAATTAAACCTAACGTCGTTTGAAGACGGAAGAGTTAGGGGGACCTTTTTTTTTAGGGTAGGGGGACATGATCACCACATACAAGATTCTCAGAGGAATTGATAGGGTAGATAAAGACAGCATATTTAACACAAGGGGGCATGCACTAGGGGACACAGGTGGAAACCGAGTATCCAAATGAGCCACAGATATTAGAAAACTTTTTTTTTTTTTTTTTTAGTGACAGTGTAATTAACAAATGGAATGCATTAGGCAGTGATGTGGTGGAGGCAGATATCATACACAGCTTCAAGTGTAGATATGATAGAACCCAATAGGCTCAGGAACCTGTACACCTGTT